TAAGAAAAGCTTAAACTTCAAAAGAAGATTGCTGCTTACTGAAATGATTTTAAGAAGCACGTCTTATTCCCCACTCCCGAACCTTAGGTCCAACAATTCCAAATCAATCAAGGCTCCAGAGCGCTAGGTGCTAGAATTAGCAGGGACCCTGCTCCCTATATCCTCAGGACAGAGAAATACTGACCTTTCTGATACTTCTTAATGGCATTCATCATGTGTGCTTTCTCCTGCTGCCTCTTCTGAAGAACCTCTGTTTGCACCTGGGACATGGACACAGGCTTGTTACTCCCATTCCAAACCATCACTACAAGTGTCTATATTCTACCAGTATCGACACTGTGATAATACCACCACCACTGAACATTTACTGTGTGCCAAAACTATGCGAAGGCTGGAAGGACATTCTCTGTTAGCTTCTCAATAACCCAGTGAGGCAGAAATTCTTAGCATCCCCGAAATGGAAGCACAGAAAGGTTAGGTCTTGCCCCAGCCACGCAGCAGGCAAGTGCAGAGCTGAGATTCTCCCGGAGCAGTCTGTGCTCCTCCCCCGTTGCACAATCCTGCCTACAAAACTGGAGCCAGTCATGCTTAGGTCCACCTCCAGTTCTCCCTGTTAACTGTATCTGGACCAATTAAATACCTAACCCACTGTTACCAAGCATGAAAGTGTTCACAGAAAAACAATCTCCCCCAAAATCAAGAAAAGAAACTTTAAGGACAAAAGGAGATGCTTTACTCCAAGGCTGGTTTCTCAATCTCAACACTACTGACAGTTCGAACAAGATAACTCTCTGTTGTGGGGTGCATGGCCTGCCCTGGGCATTATGGGATGTTTAGCAGCCTCCCTATCCTCTACCCACCAGATGCAGTTGCACACTCTCACCAAGATGAGGCAACCAAAAATGTCTCCAATATTGCCCCCAAGTCCCTGGAAAGCAAAATCATCCCCAGTCCAGAAGCAGTGCCCTGAGATTTCCTCAAATTAGAAAGAGTGAGCTAATTAATTGGCCTGGCTGAATTTTTCTCTGCTTTTGATCATTTAAGTTATGTTAAACCAATTGCCTATGTTTTTTAGTTGATCTTAGCCATCAACTACCAGATCAATCCAATAACTCCACAGCTGCCCATCTACAGAGAACCGGATGCTAATTTAATCTTAACCCACTGAGGATCTATCGGTGAAATGATTCCAAATGAGGACAGCGGTTCAACACCCCAGATCATGTTTACGTGCGAAATATGGACAAAGTCTTAACAACCATGCTGAACCTCCTTACTTTAATTCCTGTCATCTTCTTAAGTGACCAAGAAACAAAGAAGACAAACCAAAAACAAGTTTCATGGTATGCCTGTTCTGGTTTTACATTAGAACTCACAGGTGCCATTTTTCTCTCTCTGTGATTGAATGACAATCAATGATTCCTTCAAGGACTGTACAGTCTTCGAGGCCAGTGATCATCTGAGAAGCTTTTGGAGGAAGGGAAGAAAATGTACACTGATTCCCAGAGATACGGAAGCCTAGAAATCTGTTTTGAAAAATTTCCCCAGGTGATTCTGTGAGATGAGGTTTGGAAACCACTCCTCTGGACCCCCAACTCTTCACTGCACACTGGAGAGGTAAACGACTTCCTATAGTTACCACACTACTGGTAACACACTGGCATCATGGAGAGATTGTGCTCACGAACACTAGCACACACACCCACTATGAGATAAGAAACTCATGATCAAATACATATGGGTCATGGAACCAAATCGGACCACGGCAATCTGGCCTGACAAACACACCCGGCCTCATTCTTTCCCCACTGCCACTTCTCACCTTCTTTCCATATTTCCTAAGCGCTCGGAGCTGCTTAGCCTTTTCCGACTTCTCCATGGCGGCCTGTTTAGCCTGCAGCTTCTGTCGAATCTAAAACACAAAATGTTGTCAGCTTAGGTCATTTGAATCTGGGATGACTGCTATTTTGGGTGCACTTGAGCAGAAAACAGATATTCTCTGTTCTGTAAACTGTTGTAACCCAGGAGAATCAACCTCACTTGGACACCAAGTAATTTTGAATATTAGGAGCTTTATTACCTGCACAGGGACTGCAGCCAACCTACACAGAGAACTGCAGCCCCAAGCTCAGGGGGAGGGTTGCTTATATAGGACAGGGGTTACTCAAGAGTTTAGCAGAGCAAGCAAGCTACGTGTACAGAAGTGAATATCAGCAGTTAGTAGCTGCGCAAGTTGTTTATTTTATATTTCTTAACATTTATTAGACCCCAGCCTTGAATGTCTCATTCTCCTGATTAAGTTCACATTGCCCCTGTCTAGCATCTCCTGATTAGTTAAGCTCATGGTCAATACCCTTGTGGTCATGGCTGATGCTTACCTTCCTCTTCAAGAATTTTTGCAAAAACAACTCAGGTTCAAGGAACCCAGGAGAGGTTCCTTCTTCTAGCAGATGGAGAATTACTGGGTTATAACATAAACTATGGAGCTTAAAGGAACCTTATAAATCATCTGTTCTGAGACTCAGGTTTTACACATGAGGACAACACAGCCCAAAGACGGAGCACTTTGTCCAAGATACTAAACATATCAGAGGTGGAGCTAGAACTTGAAAGCAACCTTCCCACGCCTAGTACACCATTTGTTCCATTATACAAAGCTGCCTGCTTGCAGTTTTGCCAAGAGAAACTAACTTCTGCCCATTCTTACTGTCTGCAGACTGAAGTTAAACCAGCATGCAGCCCTAGTTCCCTTCTCCAATATACCAGATACACATTAAGAACTCCAGCAGATATCAGGCACCTCGCCTTTTCCATTAAACATACGCGTTTCGGTTAAAGGGTGAGCAGTTGTCAGTGTGAATGTACAAAGCTGTGTGTGGGCTCATCTCTAAATTAGCTTCCCTAAGTACCACCAAGACAAGAGCTCTCTAAAATCCAGCTTGAGACCCAAGGGAACTATTTCAATACATCTTGGATTAGATTTTGGTAATTGTCTTCCTCCCAAAGTTAAATAAGTTCTACCTAACTCTAAATTATACTACATCTGGGCCATCTACGAATCCCTCATTTTACAGAAAGGAAAACCAAAGCCCAGAGAAAATGAATTGCGTACAAGCTGTAGCACTACCCTCTGGCAATAACAGGACAAGATTTGTATTTTTTTCTACACACTGTGTCATAATCATGCCAGCTAGGAAATGCAAAAGGCCACCTTCAGCTTGGGGACCACACTTCTTCCAATACATTTCCTCCCCTTAATTGTTCAAATTAGGAAAGTCATCCTTATATTTACCTAACTGGTGGTGACTGGCATGAGTCTGAAGTAGACAACAGAGATAATAATTGTCCTCTGACAACCAGTTCCCTATTATTAAGCTTAGTCATTTTTTAAAAAACATTATAGATTAGCCATATAAATATACTCAAAAGTATAAAGCCTCAGCTTTCCCGAAAAAAAAAAAAAAATCTTACCTTCTGCATCTGCTGATCAGACTTGGCCATCTCAGCGAAATAATCAGTGGGCCGCTTGGTAGGGACTTTGAGCTGATGGAGGCGTGGTAAAACTGCAAGCACTGCGGCCTGGGCCTGGCGGTAGCTGAAGGTACAGGACGAAGTGTCAATAAGCTAAGCAGCAGGGCCTTGCATTCCTTCTCACTACCTCTCATGAGTTAGCCAAGGTCAGGACTCCCAACATCTGAACCCAGAAGACACACACACACAAATACTGTACTAAAACTTGGTATCTGGAAGAAATTTAACTGTACGCGCTTTTAAAATGGGAGGCGAGGAGTACTGCTGAAAATAAATTAGTAGTTTAAGAATATGACCACTCTAAAAGCACCTATCAATTTACAAACTAGTGCCAATTATGAATTCGTGTGTAGTTGCTACGACAGTCTATGTAAGTACCTTCCATAAGAAAACTTTTGTTCTAATAATTGAATGTGTACACACGCACAAATAAACTTGAGCTCTTTTTAGTCAAAAGAAGACTTCCTCCCTGCTCCCAGACTTACTTTAACTTCTTAGCAGTACAGGCTCACTATCTCCCCCCTCCCCACCCTTGAAGCACAGGGGCCCACATTTGAAAACAAACATACAAGTTCATCTCCCGCTGGAAATCATCTTCTGGATCAACAGCCTTCTGATCCTTGTTCTGAGGTGAAGACTGAGGTCCACTGATTTCTGGCACAGGACTGAGGGTGACATCAAGCCTTTCCACCCACTCCAGATCCCGCTTGAATTCTGCCAAACACTGCTTCAGGCCATTCTAAGAAATTCAGACACTAAGCTCCTAAGCAGGGAACCCTTCCTATGTCTCTCCCAAGCCCAGGGTGCTGGGCCAACCGACAAGGTAGTAACCCCCATTCCCCAGGGGGAACGGACGCGCTCGACAACGCGCAGGTTGCGTCCTTCCTGGGAAAAGCACTCAGCCACCCAAGCACAACGGTTTCTTGTGCTCCTCTCCCGTCCGAGGGCCCCCGACCCAGCGCCCAAGCTCACCACGTCGTTCACGGCTTTTTTCGGGCCTGCTAGCACGACATTGAGGCCTGGCTTCAGGAGCCCTCGGGAAAACGCATCCTGCAACTGCGGGGCACGCTCGGCGTCAGTACCAGGGGAGTCAGGCCGTCCCCCGCGCCCAGCCGCGCGGGCTCTGCGACACCTACCTCTCGGTCGGTGACCAGCGAGTCTTCAGAATCCGAATCCGAGCCTGAGGGCAGGGGAGTGTCCATCTCGCAGCGCGCCCGTCCGACAGCTGCCAGGGAAGCGGGGTGTGCCCGGGCCCGCGCGGCTGGAGAAGGGCGCCTCTCGCCGCTGCGCCTGCCTTCGGCCCCTACCCACACCCCGCGGCTCCACGTGTACCGAGCCGCTCCAGGGCCTACCACCCACTGCTGCTGCTGAGCTCCTTGCTCGGACTTCCGCTTCCGGCCGCTGCCCCACACTTCCGCTTTCCCGTTGCTATAGGAACCGCTCCGGCGTCTGAAAGTGCCCGAGTTGCTTGGGATCGGTAGGAATCCTACCTCTGGATACTCGTGTGGTTGTGGTCTGGTGACTCGGAGAGGAGAAGCAAAAGGTGGGAGGGGACACCCGGGGTTGTCCGGGGGAGCAGGAAGCCGAGAGCGTGCAAAGGAGCGGGGAGAAGCAGGAGCGGCGGCGGGGTGAGGGTGAGGGGCGCTGAGGGGATGAGACTGAGCAGGACTCCGGGGCGGGGGCGGGGGCGTGTCCCGGGCGGGGCGGGGCGGGGGGGGGGGGGCGGGGCGGGGCGGGGCGGGGCGTTGCGCTTCTCCACCTCACCTGCTGCACTCGGTCTTCACAGAACTGATTGGCCAGGGACCATGTCGACCGTGGTAGCACAGTCCCTGCGTGCTTTTGGTCTTCGCTCCCATGTGGCCAACAATATCTTCTTCTTCGATGAGCAGATCATTATATTTCCTTCAGGAAATTACTGTGTGAAGTACAATATGGATCAGAAATGGCAAAAGTTCATTCCAGGTAAAACCGTTTCCATCCTGACACATTAACTTTATGTGGCAATATAACCTCAGAATTCCAACATGACAATTGAAAGGAAAGTTTTTTTGGTCAACTTGAATAAACGTATAGTTGTCTAAATGTAGAAAAAAATGTATGTCTACTTGCATTACATGCAAAATACTGTTAACTTAAAATTACTTTTTTCACTGTGCTTTAATGGAAAATATTATTTTAAAGATCTTCTTTTCATACTTCTTCTATTTCATTTTCTTTGTCATCAACAGGGCCACTTTTTGAGCTGTCTAAACAGTTTTCCAGAGCACACCACCCTCCTTCCAGTATCTTTTGAATTCATGTATGGTGAAGACCCTGGAGATTTTATCCCAAGTCACAAATATAACCATTTGTATAATGTTACATTTGTTTTTTTGTTCACATTGGTCCTGTTGATGATATACATAATTTTCACAACTTAATCACTTATTCCTTTTTTCCACTCTTTCTTGTATGTGGTTTTACCATATATGTGTAACCCCATGTAAGATATAGTTTGTTTTTGCTATTTACTAACTTTATATAAATGGAATCATAGTATATGTATTCTATGACTTGCTTCTTTTGTTCGACACCATGCTTTTGAGATCATGCATCTTCATAGATATTACATGCATCTTGAGTTCATTTTATGCTAAATAGTGTTCCATGCTATGACTCTAATGTCTCAAGTACATCTATTCATTCCGGTGTCAATGGACATTTGGGGAACAACAGTTTTTGCTATTACAAATCACACCAGTATAACATTTCTTGCATTCATGTATTCTTGTCCACTTTTGCAGAGATTCTCCAGGGTACACAACCAGGACAAAAATTACTGGGTAATATGGTAGTACCAATTTACATTCCCATCAGGAGTACATGAGACTTGCCATTCCTCCACAACCTCACCAACTCTTACCAAGTTGGTATCATCCAACTTCCTAATTTTTGCTAATCTAGTGATTGAGAAAAGGGTATCTTATTGGCATTAGTGTGCATTTCTCTATTACTAATAAGGATGAATTTTTTTTCACGTGTTTATGGCTATTCCTGTTAGTCTTCTGTGAAATGCCATATTTATGTCTTTTACCCATTTTTCTATAGGATTTTGGGGGTAATTTTCCTATTGACTTGTCGGTACGCTATCTATATTCTGTATGCCAGTCCTTTATCATATATATGTATATACACACACACACACACACACACACACATATATATACACACATATATATATAATTTCTCTCATTTGGGGGCTTGTGTTTTTCCTTTATTTATGGTATCCTGATAGAAATTCTTAGTTTTAATGAAGTTCACTAACCTTTTCCTCTTGTGTCTTGTTCAGGAATTGTTCCCTAACCCAAGATTATTAATATATGATCCTATATTATTTTTTTTATGTTTTGTACTTTCGTCTCTCACATTTGAGGCCCTGAGTTAGGAAGGTGCTTATTGTGTTAGGGGAACAGAGAGAGGCTAATGTGGCTGGAGTGGAGAAATGGAGGGGCAGGGAGCGAGAGGTGAGGCAGAGAACTAATGGGAGCAACATCACACAGGGCTTTGTAGGTCTCTTCCTCTGAGTGAAATGAGAAGTCATGGGGGATTCTAAGCAGAGAGAGTAGCATGATCTGATTTATGTTTCAACAGATTCCTTCTGGCCACTATAGAGAATAGATTTCAGGAGGAGCAAGGGAGGAAGTAGGAGACCAGTTGATAAACTATTGCTATAACCCAGGTGAGACAAAACGATGCCAAGGAGCAGACTGTAGGTAATAGCAATGGTGAGAAGAGATCAAATCTTGGATATATTTTGAAAGCGGAGGTGACAGATTTTGTCAGAGACCTGAGGTAAGGTGGAAGAGAAAAAGAAAAAGCAAGGTTTTTGACCTGATTAACCAGAAGGATGGAGTTGCTGTTAACTGAGATAGAGGACTTACCCACAAAGCACGGTAGGCACGGGGTCTAGGGCCCATGATATATTTAGGGACCCAAGAACGTGTTTTAATTTTAACTTATTTTAAAACCAAGAAAAATTAATATAATAATAATGAATAGCCCTGGCCGGTTTGACTCAGCGGTTAGAGCATTGGCCTGCGGTCCTGAGAGACCCGGGTTCGGTTCCCGCTAAGGGCATGTACCTTGGTTGCAGTTTGTCCCCAGCTCTGGTCAGTCGTGCGGGTGGCAGCCACTCGATGTGTTCCTTTCACATCGATGTTTCTCTCTCTCTCTCTGTTCCTCTCTCTCCCTCCCACTCTACCTGAACAAAAAATGGAAAAATGTCCTTGGGTGAGGATAAAAAATAATAATAATAATAATAATAATAATAATAATGAATATACCATAATGAATCCAGCCTGGATATCTTTCTCTTTATATCAATACAATCACAAAATATACTTTTTAACATTCTTTAATGAAGGAAGGGGCTTCTGAAAGCAATAGTACCTAGGGCCCATGAAAATCATGATGTGGCCCTGGTTGCATTTCCGAGATAAAGTATTTGTACTTTGATCTTTGCCTCAGGTGCTGCTATATAGAGGACCATAGCTTTCATTCTCATGCTCATTACTTCATGGTTGCAAGATGACTGCTGTATCTCCAGATATCATCTATATTCCAGGGAAAGGGGGACAGAATGCATCCACCCCTGGTTTTCAAGAAAGAACAAATGTTACCCGAAAGCCAGCCCAGCAAACTTCTGCATCTCTTTCATGGCCAGAATGTCACACAGATCACTTACCTGTGAGGGGGCCTGAGGAATCCAGTAGTTAGCATCCCAGCCTTGGAAGCAGAGGGAGAGTATTGAGTGCTGCCCACTCAGGACATAAAGGCTCATGTGATCTGACCCTATTCCACCCCTCTAGACCAATCTGTGACCACCCCTGGCTCACATGCAATGCTCCAGTAATATTCCACTTTCTCACATCCATACCTTTGCTCTTCCTGCCACCTGCTCCACTCCCCTCCCTGCCCCACATTGTCCTCCTTCGGGAATCAATCCCAGACTTCTCCTTTCACCTTGGCCTCAGGGAGGCGCCCATTCTAGTCATTTTCCTAATACCCCAGACATAGTTGTACCAAGGAGCTTCATGGGTTGACAGTTACTTATTTCTGCACTTTTCTCCTATTGTGTCAGCAGTATCTACCACTGTGTCTGGTTCACGTTGAATCTTGTTGATCTACCCTTATTATTCCCTTTTACTTGTTTGCAGGCTCAGACAAGAGTCAAGCCATGTTAGCCTTGTCCATCAGTCCCAATCGGCGATACCTCGCTATGTCCGAGATGGTGCAAGAAAAACCTGTCATCACCATTTATGAACTGTCATCCATCCCTTGCCGGAAGCGCAAAATCCTTAATAATTTTGACTTTCCAGTTCAGAAATTTACTAGCATGGCTTTTTCTCCAGACTCCAAATACTTGTTGACTCAAACATCACCTCCAGAGTCCAACCTTGTCTATTGGCTGTGGGAAAAACAGAAAGTAATGGCCATTATTAAAATCGACTCTCAGAACAACACTGTCTACCAGGTACCTCCCAGCATAACAAGTATCGTGCGAATTATAAAAAATAGTACAAGCTGTCTTTTATTGAATGCTTTCTATGTACTAGGAGCAGTGCTAATCTCTCAATATGCACTTTAAAATTTAGTCTCACACAATCATATGTTATGTATAATTATTATCCCTAACATACTGACAAGTGAACTGAGGCCCCAGGAGGTTAAGTTACTCACCTAAGGTCCCAGAGGTAGTGAATGGCAGGCCAGGAGTCATGACTCCAGTGCCTGTCTCCTTTACTCTGGCCTAGAACTGCTTTCTGGTCTCAGGTCAGACTCAGAGGTGAATTGATCAAACTTGCTCTCTCTCTTTGGTTCTGGCCTCTTTCCAGCAGCATTATGAGGCAGTGGGAAGATTTCAGGGATGTGGTATGAAGTGGTAGATGTTGAAGAACTGTCAATGATATTGCAGTTATGTGGGGAACAGAGTTTTCTATTGTGGTGTGAAGGCAAAATAAAGAGCACCTGTTAGGAAGCTGGTTCACTGTTAGGCAGTGGGTCCCAAGGAGTTTTCTCTCGATGCAGTCAACCCAGTCTAGGTTTTCAGGAACTCAGTTCTATTCAGCGTCTCAGGCATGGACTCCATTATTCTCACAAGAGGCTGGTGTATAAACCAGCACGTCAGGACGAGAACACTCACATCGTTTATACAGTGTATTTTGTCCCTAGGAGTAGAGAACTTGGAAGGTGAAATTAGCCATCAGAAGGCTGCATGGTGATCACAGAATCAGGTAGAGCTGGAAGATCATTTCCTCCAGGCCACGCTGAGGCCTTGCAGCATCCCCACTCAGAGCAGGGAGCACCTTCACTCCGGTAGACTCAACGCACACTTGTTAGATGCCCACTGTGAACCCAGCACTGGGAATACAGAGATGAAAGAGCCACAGCCCCTCAAGTTGCTCACCATCTAGTGAGGTGATGGGTTGACTGCCTGTTACTCTGCGTTGGGATGAGGGTACAGACAAAGGAAGCTCCATTGGTAGGAGACCACATAGCAGTCCCTGACATTTGTTCCTTCCCCTGGACAGGGAACATACCTGCCAGACACTCATGTTGCTGTGTTTCCAGCTGAGCCTTCATTCCTTTTTGTTGACACAGTATTTAGCCATTGTCAAGACCTACCCAGTTTGCTTTTTGGCCTTTGTAAAATGACTTGTGTAGGTTTCCTAGTTTAAAACTACTGGCCCCACAAATATCATGGATGTAGATCTGTGCTCTTATCAAATATAGTATCAAAACTTTATGATTTGGTGGTTTCAAGGATACTCTGAGCTACCTGAAATAAATATCAATGAGTAAAATGGGAAATAATTCCATCAAGATTAATTTTATAAATCTTTTTCTTTTATGCTTTCACATTTTACAGGTGAGCTTCAGTCCTCAGGATAACACACAGGTTTGTGTCACTGGAAATGGGATGTTTAAGCTTCTCCGTTTTGCTGAGGGAACCCTGAAGCAAACCAACTTTCAGAGGGGAGAACCCCAGAACTACCTAGCTCATACCTGGGTGTCTGATGACAAGATTGTCGTTGGCACTGATACAGGCAGGCTCATCCTCTTTGAATCTGGAGATCAACGCTGGGAGACAAGTATAATGGTCAAGGAGTCCTCCGGTGATTTGAAGAATCTGGAGAGGGTCCAGGAATCAGAAAGGTAATGGCACCCCTCTGAGCTGGTGCTCTTATGAAAACATGCTCATTGTAGCCCTGTCTGGAGCGGCTCAGTTGGTTGAGCATCATTCCATGTACCGAAAAATCACTAGTTTGATTCCTGGTGAAGGCACATATCCAGGTTGTAGGTTCACTTCCCAGTCGGGGTGCATACAGAAGGCAACCAGTCGATGATTCTCTCTCACATCGATATCTCTCTCTCTCTCAAATCAATCTATACATCTATATATAGATATATAGATATTCATTGTATTAATACCATGCCATCAAAACAAGCATTCTTTAAAAATCACTCATAACCGCTCTACCTTAAAAACCAATTCTTCATTTTCTCGTTGCCTTCCCAGTGTTCATCTGTATTCAAGCACAAATTTGACAATTATGACCATAGCCTAGATACAGTTCTTTTTATTTTTATACCTAACCTCACTTTATAAGCATTTTAGTATGATTAGTCTTCAGAATTACAGCTTTTTCAAAAATATATTTTTGAATGGCTGCCTAATTTACTGAATCAATTGAATAAATGTCCACTGAGCGCTTGCAGTGTGCAAGGCACGTTGCTAGGTCCTGGGGACACAGCTCCTCCAGGACCTCACGATTCGGTAGGAGGCAGCAGACCAACAAAGAAGAGCAAGGAAATGTCATCAGTAAATCTGACAGAAGCATATGACTGAAGTGGGGGCTCAGGAGGGAGCTGTCAGTTTTGCCTCCACTACAACCAATAGTCTCTCACCCACATCTACTGTACCATTGTACGTACTAGGCACTGCCTTGAGCACTTTATGTACATTCTCATTTGAGTCTTACCCTATGTAGTACATATTATTATCATGCCCATTTTATAGACAAGGAAACTGACACTCAAAGAGGTTTACTGGCTCACCAAAATCACAGCATTGTTCAGTGGCAGGGTCAGGATTCCAACCGAGATCTGTCTGACTGCAGACCCTTAGCCTCAACCACAGGCACACTGTAAATCCTTCTTCCTCATTAACTTTTGGTTTATCATTTTCACCATCCCCCATACTAATGACATCTCCTTTTCTGTTGTAATTTGGTTAAGAGCTTCCTAATAAGTCTCCATGCCTCCAGTTTGCTGTGCTCATACTCCTTCAGTGGGTCCAGGGCTCTAAGAATAAAGGCCAAACTCCTGAACTTGGTCCATGCATCTGCTACTCTTCCTTACGTCTAGAGCATTGGCTCTGGCCCTGCACGCCTCGTGCTCTTGCTTCTGGGCTTGGTAACATGTAGTTCTCCTGACACCGTTGCTCGTTCTTCAGATCTCAGCCTCTACTCATCTCTGGTAGGTGTACCTTCTCTGAACTGTCTTCAGAAAATAGTTTCTACCTGCCGACTGGGTGTTCCCATCCTGCTTGGTTGCCCCCTAATTGTCCTTATCATGTGCACCCTAGACTATAGCCTTCTGAAGGCAGGAAATGTATCAATCTTCTTTACTATTGTTTCACAGAGTGGTTAACACTGTGTAGTGCCAGGAAATACTAGTGTATGAATGATTGAATGAATGAATGAATGAACGAATGAGGGGGGTAGAGAGGGATGGAGAGAGGAAATGGACACCTTGAGTCGAATCTCATCTCTTCCACTCACTAATTGTATGGTTTTTAGAAAACTCAATCCCTTAAGCTACTTTTTTCTAAATACCAAAATGAGGATAATAATAATATAATAACACTAATGGCAGTAACAGTCGTGATCACACAGGGTTGTGAGACTACCAAATAAATGTGTAACCTCCCAGGCTTCCTTTGGAGTTTGTGTAGCATTCCCAGGGCAAAGGGTAGCATTTTGGTTATGGAAAAGGGGATCCCACTGGGTGGTCTCTCCCACACCCAAGGACAGCCCTTCTTTCTCCTCCCTGGCAGAATTCTTCTCCCTGGGATTGTCTCTGTAAACGTGACATGCTGTTTTCTTCTTCCAGCTTGATTGAATTTCCAACGCTCAGTTCCCCAGTGCCTTCCTTCGAACAAGTCCTGGCGAACAGCAACCACAGCCAGCTGAGCATGCCGCAGGTGTTCGCCGTGGCGGCCTGTTCCAAGGGCTTCGCCTGTTCTGCAGGGCCGGGGCGAGTCCTGCTGTTTGAGAAGATGGAAGACAAGGATTTTTATCATGAGAGCAGGGAAATCCGGGTAAGGAGGGGAGGAAGAAGCGAAACTGGGGTCTTGCTGATGTTCGTTCTCCAGAATCGGAGCACTGACAAAGACTGATGGGGAGAAGAGAGCTTGTCGTGCTGAGCAGAAACGGAAACTGGAACCATTTGTCCTCAGGACAGATGGACAGCATTGAGGTTTAGAATTGGGAAGCACTGGATTTGAATCCTGGGAGAGAACTTTGGAAAATTCTATTGTCTCTTTGAAGCTTAGGGTTCCTGTAAAAAAAATTGTATTATTATAATCCATATCGATATTGAATGTCCAGCAGACTACCCCGCACAGTAAGCATTCAGTGAATGTGTGTGGACGAAGTGATACACACTGTTTTGGAGAGAGAGGGTGTATCTGGTTGGGGAAGAACCAGGAAGGCTTCTGGGCGTTTGATGGTCATCTTTCAGGAAAGGCCTTAGAGTCTGGGTAACATTTAACAGAAAGAAACATCAGGAATTCTAGGTGGAAGGAACAAATAGACCCAAGGCACCACTGACTGGGAGCAGGTAGTGTATTCGGGGTACCTTCTGTCCCCCAGCAGAGAGGGACTAAAGATCTCAAAGGCCAACCTGAGGCCCGTATGTAATTCAGCAGACCACCTGGCTTTGAGTGGAGAGTTCTGTGCTCAGCGCCAGCGCTCTGCTTGGGAGAGACAGTGGGGCCATGGAGGGCCCTGGACACGAAGTGGCTGAAAACACAGTGGACGAGTCGGACTCAACTCTGCTGCTTGTTGGCTGAGACGTAAGATGAGCAGCTGAGTCTGGCAAAACTGTGCGTCTCCAGGTTCTGTGGGAGACAGCAGCGGGACAACACAGACAAGGCCCCCAGTCTGCTGGCTCCCCAGCTACTCTACACAGCGTGATAGACGTGACAGCAGAGGGAACTCGGTGCTGAGGGCACACTGGGAACGGAACGGCAGTGCCCCCCAGCCCAGGGCCGGTCAGGGCCGGCCTCCCAGAGCCTTCGTTGTCCTGTGGAGCAGGGGAGTTGATTGTGTGAAGAAGGGTGAATGAGCTGTGCAAGAAGGCAAAACCCCAGGCAGAGGGAGGGAAACACAAGAGCCCAGTGTCCTGGGCACCAGGGAGGCGATGTCGCCATCACTGCTACAGGCTGTAAAAAAGTAAAAAAGATGAGGACTGGCAGGGGCGTCCGGCTTTGGTGATAAGGAAATGTCCTATGTGTGTGAGGACAGTGTCAGTAAATGATGCAGTGGAAGGAAAATTCTTTTATCAAATTCTAAGGAGTTAAGAGCTGAGTGGGTGATAAGGAAGTGGAGATGGTGTATGCAGGCCAACCTTTCAAGAAGTTTGGTTGTTAATAGGAGAAAAGCAAGAGCAGGGAAAAGGAAATTGAATTGTATAGTGTCTACTTGGGAACTACAGGCCCTCGCACCCACCCCACGTGGAACAAGGGCTGTGTCCTTCCCCTCGGCCACCCTGAAGTACACACTGGTATGTTCAGTGCAGGTGGGCGCCTGCACTGGGGTATACAACATATTCCAAATGAATACGAGAGTGGGATTGGGTGGGAATTAGACTAACGCTTGTTTTCAGCAGAGATCGCAACTGGGCATGTACAGCTGGATCATTTTTACGTACGCCGTTGTCTTACTATTCAGCCGCTAATCACGTAACGGTGACTACAAAGCCCACAGAAACAGAGGCAACTCGAGCCCTCCTTCCCCACCTCTGAGGTGGGTCCTGGAGCCATGCTGGTCTGGGAGGCCACCAGGTCAAAGTATCTGAGAGAACTCTGACACCTGAGAACCCACTGACACTGCGGGCACGTCGCTGACAGCTGTCTTGCGTCCTGGGCAGGTTCCTGTGGACCCGCAGAGCAATGACCCGAGTCAGTCTGACAAACAGGACATCCTCTGCTTGTGCTTCAGCCCCTCGGAGGAAACCCTGATTGCCAGCACCAACAGGAACCAACTCTACAGCATCACCATGTCCCTGACGGAGATCAGCAAGGCGAGTCTTCCCCAGCAGTGTTTCTGTCCAGACTTTTTTCATCTGTGTTCCTAGCAGAAGTGGCCTGCAGTTTTTCCTTGATGCCTTTGTCTGCTTTTGGCACCAGGGTGATACTGGCTCACAGAACGAGGTGTAGAGATGAGGCTGGAGAGAATTGTTTTGTTGTTAAGATAAGAGTGATCTGAGTGTATTTAACAGCTAATAGGCTAATATATCAAATCATGTTGTATACCCCAAAAGAATACAACATTATGTCAATTATATCTCAATTTTTTTTTTTTTTTATCCTCACCCAAGGACATTTTTTTCATTTTTTGTTCAGGTAGAGTGGGAGGGAGAGAGAGGAACAGAGAGAGAGAGAGAAACATCGATGTGAAAGGAACACATCTAGTGGTTGCCACCCGCACAACTGACCAGGACCGGGGACAAACTGCAACCGAGGTACGCGCCCTTAGCGGGAACCGAACCCGGGTCTCTCAGGACTGCAGGCTGACGCTCTAACCGCTGAGCCAAACCGGCCAGGGCCTCAATTTTTTTTTTAAATGCTATACAGTAGAGCTTTTTTTAAATCTTTATCTGAGTATATTTTTCCATTGATTTTTTTTTTTTTTTGATAGAGAAAGAAAGAGAGAGAAACATTGATGTGAGAGAGACACATCAATTGGTTGCCTCCCGCCCGACCCTGAGTTGGGCAGGGTCGGGGATCAAACCCACAAGTACATCAAACCTGCAACTCTTTGGTCCATGGTGGATGCTCTAATCGCTAAGCCAAACCTGCCAGGGCCAATAGAGGGTTTTGAAAGTATCACACACCAAATGAGTTTTTGAAAGTTCAGGGAACTTGTTCTGTACCCGAGATATTTTTCTATTGATTTTTTTTTTTTTACATAGAATAGAAGGGTGGGAGGGAGGGAGAGAGAGAGAGACATTATTGTGAGAGAGACACATCAATTGGTTGCCTTCTGTAGGACCCCAACTGGGGCCGGGGATTGAACCTGCAACCCAGGTGCATGCCCTTGACCAGGAATTGAACCCAAGACTGTTTGGTCAGCAGGCCGATGCTCTATCCACTTAGCCAAACCAGCCTGGGCAGGAAATTAGTTCTTAAAAGTTACTATGTGACTTTGGGCAAATCTTCTGGATTAAACCTCTCTGAGCATCACTTTCACCTATTTTCAGTGAGAGGTTATGAGATGGCCTCTTTTTTCTTTTTTTTTCTAGGTGAATTATATATAAATTTTAGGGTCTAACATTATAATTCAATATTTAAATATACCTCATTGTGCTCACCCCCAAAAGTCATATAGTTTCCATCTATATCCATACAATTGATCCCCTTTACCTATTTCACCCTCCTCCCCCTCTTCACCCCCAATCTACCAATCTGTTGTCTGCCTCCATGAGCTTGTTTTTGTTTGTTTGTTTTTGTGTTTTTATTAATATTCCACATACAAGTGAACTCATATGTATTTCTTTTTCCATGAGGGCACCCACCTGACTTATTTTACTTAGCACAATACCCTCAAGGTCCATTCATGTTGTGGCAAATGGCAGGATTTCATCTTTTTTACAACTGAGTAGTAGTCCATTATATGTATATACCACATCTTGTTTTTTCCAAAAATTTTTTTTTCATCCTCACCCGAGGGCATTTTTCCATTTTTGTTCAGATAGAGTGGAAGGGAGAGAGAGAAACATTGATGTGAAAGGGACACATCAAGTGGCTGCCTCCCGCATGACCCAGCCGGGACAGACTGCAACTGAGGTACGTACCCTTAGCAGGAACAGAATCCTGGGTCTCTCTGGACCACGGGCTGACGCTCTAATCACTGAGCCAAACTGGCCAGGGCCCAAATTTTTTAACTTTATCTTTATTGTTGAATGTATTACAGATGTCCCCCCTTTTTATTCCCCATTGACTCCCTCCTCCCCAATCCTGCCCCCTTACACTATTATCTGTGTCCATTTGTTATGCATATGTGCATAGAATTTCTTTGGTTTATCTCATCCCACCCTCTCTCCCCCTTCCCTTTGAGGTTCATCAGTCTAACAACCAATTTGTACTTCTGAATTTCTTCATCTTTTTCACCCATCTCCCCAGCCCCCACCCATTTGGCAAGCAACAAAAAGTTCTCTGTATCTATGAGTCTGTTTCTGTTCTGCTTGCTCATTTTGTTTGTAGATTCAATTGTTGATAGATATGTATTAATTGCCATTTTATTGTTCATATTTTTGTTCTTCTCCTTCAAGAAGACCCTTCAACATTTCATATAATACTGGTTTGGTGGCGATGAACTCCTTTAGCTTTTTCTTGTCTGGGAAACTCTTTATATGTCCATCGATTCTGAATGATAGTTTTGCAGGATGGAGTAATCTTGGTTGTAAGTTGTTGCTTTTCATCACCTTGTATATCTCTTGCCACTTCTTTCTGGCCTACAAAGTTTCTTTTGAGAAATCAGCTCACAGTCTTATGGGAGCTCCTTTGTAGGTAATGAACTGCCTTTCTCTTGCTACTTTTAAGATTCTCTCTTTGTCTTTAACTTTTGGCATTTTAATGATGATATGTATTAGTATGGACCTCTTTGGGTTCATCTTGTTTGGGACTCTCTATGTTTCCTGTACTTGTATGTCTGTTTCCTTCACCAAGTTAGGGAAGTTTTCTGTCCTTATTGTTTCAAATAGGTTTTCAACTTCTTGTTTTCTCTCTTCTCCTTCTGGCACCCCCATGACGCAAATGTTGGCATGCTTCAAGTTGTTTCAGAGGCTTCTTACACTATCTTCATGTTTTTGGATTCTTTTTTCTTTTTGTGTTCTGATTGGGTGTTTTCTGCTTTCTTATATTCCAAATCGATGGCTTGCTTCTTGGCTTTACTTATTCTACTATTGATTCTCTGTAAATTATTCTTTATTTCAGTTAGTGCATCCTTAATTTCTGACTGGCCCTTTTTTCTGTTGTTGGTATTCTCACTAAGTTCCTTGGAGTTCTCCTTAAGTTCCTTGAACTTCTCACTAAATTCCTTGAAGTTCTCAGTTCCTTGAGCATCCTTAAAATCAGTGTTTTGAACTCTGCATCTGATTGATTGCTTATCTCCATTTTGTTTAGTTCTTTTCCTGAAGTTTTATTATTTTCTTTCATTTGGGACATGTTTCTTTGTTTCCTTATTTTGGTTGCTTCCCTGTGTTTGTTTCTATGTATTAGGTAGAGTTGCTATGTCTCCTAGGCTTCGTAGGGTGGCCTATTGTTGTAGGTGTCCTGTAGGATCCAGTGGCACAGCCTCCCTGATCACCCCGCTGGGCCCTTAAGGTGATACCACATTTTCTTTATTCATTCATCCATCAAGAGACACAAGTTGTTTTCATGAGGTGGCCTCTTAACTGGAATTAAGAGATGAGTAAAGGAGGTGATGCTGCCTGGTTGACCCTCTCAGGTGCAGCCTTTCTGGCCACCTATTCTTGGCGACACCATGAATCCAGGGCTGTTTTTAAACTGCAGATTTAAAAATGGTTTTTATCATCTGGCAGAACTGATTCACATAGACTCTAAAAGGACTAATTTTATGGCCGAATCTCCAATTTGCTTTGTCTGGAGGGGCAAGCTCTTTGCAGAGCCTCTGCCCCGAGGTGGCAGGGCCTGTGAGGAGGTGGTCTGCAAGGGGAGGAAAGAACCAGGCCAGAGGAGTTAGGTCTTCTGTGGAAGGGAGCGTTTCCACTCTCTCTCCTTGGCTATAAAAGCCTTCTGTCCATCTCTGTACATACGCTCTGCCTCCTTGCCCCTGAGTCATGTTCCATTTTGATACCAAAGTGATCTTTTCAAAACCCATATCCGGTCATTGCAAGATGCACATCCTCCACCAGCACCACTATCACAACTGTAACTCTTTAGTGGCCTCCCTGTGCTCTGAGAATAACCAAACTTGGGTGCACAGGGCTGGCCCTGGCTGCCCCAGCCTCACCCCATCATTCCACCTAACAGGCTGACCTTTCCAATCACCATGAATCTATATGTTCCTTCCTGCCAAAAGGTTTGTGCAAACACTGTCCTGTCTGGTTGTTTTGCCGTCCCATACAGCTGGCAATATGTTTATTCAAGATGGATGTCTTCAAACAGATGCCTCGACAATTACAGCCAACTGTCAGGCACTTACATTACAATAAAAAAGCTTGACGTCGGCAGTATCTAAGGAAGTAATCAGAGAGGTACACACACTTACCTGCAAGGAAATTTAGTTTGGTTATTCCTAAGTCACAAAAATTGGAGACCACTTCAATGTTCCCACGGTAGAAGATTGGCTAAATTAAATTCTGGTATATTCATGGAATAAAATATTTTATTGCCATTGAAATAACATTTTAAACTAATAGTGACTTAGGAAAATATGCATAACATTAAAACAATTGTTTCACAGCCTGATTTCTGTGCACCCAGGCTAATTAACGTTCATGGGTAGTAATGAGAGCTGAAGTACACAGCCAGCCTTCTGCTTACTGTGCCGGTCTCCTTCTGTATGATCTCCAGGGGGAGCCAGCCCACTTTGAGTATCTGATGTACCCATTGCACTCAGCATCCATCACCGGTCTAGCTGCTTGCATCCGCAAACCCCTCATTGCCACCTGTTCTCTGGATCGATCCATTCGCATCTGGAATTATGAGTCAAAGTAAGGAATGAAAGGCTTTGCTACTTTAATATGCAGGATTTGAGTTGTTAAATTTTTCATGTGAATTATTTTAGAGAGTTTTAAATTTTAATTACTTAGAAGCTTTCAGTTGGAAAAAATATTTTTTTAGATCAACTCAGTCAACCTACCTTCCCTTTTCACTCTTGCATGGGCTAGAAAAATACTTTGTGCTTCAGTAAATGCTTGCTCCATTCCAGACACTGTACTAGACTCTAGGGTCATAGAGATAATACTCCAGGATCTCACCTTCTTCCATGACCTCCTATGTCCTCCTAGCTTTCCTAACCCCTCATGCCCATTAGAGCTGCACAGAGTTTGCCAGACTGTTATTTATCTGTTTTCTCCTCATCATTGCCCGCAACCTCCCTCAACTCTCTAGTGATATGTTTCCTCCTGGCATAGCTCCCCTGAGAATCTCTGTCCTAGATTGGCCCCACACTGTAATTTCTTTTATCTTATATACAGTTGCTGGAGCTGCTGAAAAATAAGATGTGCAATCCTTCTGATTTGGGGAATCTAAATGGAACTGTTCATTCAACATCACTAGACAACCCCTTGGTCCGTCCCCTTACTTACCATACTCATTGCTCATATCTTCAAATAACCAAAATCTAGAAAAGAGAGCAAACAATTATTGCAAGCAATAAAGTATCTCAAATGCTATGATAAGAATACATACCAGATACAATGGAGGGCTCGAGGGAGTTAGCAGGCTAGACTTATAATTCAGTAACTGACCTTTCTCACAGTACTCTGGAACTCTATAAGGAATACCAAGAAGAGGCATACACAATCAGCCTTCACCCATCTGGTCACTTCATTGTAGTAGGGTTTGCTGACAAACTACGCCTCATGAATCTACTCATCGATGATATACGTTCATTCAAAGAATACTCTATTAGAGGATGCAGAGAGGTAAGAACTGCTGGAGATAAAAGTTCAGTTTCTGGGAAAGCCAGGGTTGAAATATCAACTAACATGCTCTAGGGAGGTGGGACCAAAATATGTCTTAGAAAATTTCAGTGGCTTAAAAAAGAAAGAAAGAAATCCAGTTATTCTCCCACCAAACTTATTGAGTATATGGTTCTATCACCTTTTTCTTATTCTCACCAAAATATTTCAATGAGCCCAAAGCCCTGTGAAATCCCACCTGCGGCAAGTCCTCCCTGTGATTGTGGAGTAATACAAAAGCATTGAAAAAGAAAAGTTACCCCAGAATCACAGTCATAATTGGGAAGGTGAGGTCGGAGCCTGGGCGAAGCCGGGGAAAATCAGCAGAGGCAGTAGGCAGTCCATCAGCTTTCCCCGAGATGACCAGCAGAAACAAGACAGTGGTCCCGGGAATCACTTCCCCACTCTGCAACTTCCTGTGTGGACAGAATGGGTATTCTACTCTGTGATCCAAGCAGCTCTATACTTAGTGCACGTGGCAGTGTCAGCTACAGGAATAGTGAAAGGGTCTGAAAGTGTCAGACAATTCCCAGTACATTTGTACCTTTCCCGGAGTCCCTCCTCCACACATGGTTTCAGCCCGAACTCAGGAAAGGCACTCTAGGCCGTGACCTCCAACGAGACTGCTCATTCTTTCACGCTTGCTCTCTGGCTGTATTTCCTTATAGTGTGCCTTTAGCAATGGAGGGCACCTGTTTGCTGCAGTCAATGGAAATGTGATTCACATTTTTACCACCACCAGCCTGGAGAACATCTCAAACCTGAAAGGACACACGGGGAAGGTAAGCGAGTGAGCCGTGTGGAGGGCACAGAGCCAAGCACTGCGCTAGCCCGTGGGATCCAAGTGAACAAGCGAGAAGTGATTCCTTTCCTCTCGGAGTCATTGTCTACCTGGGGGAAGAGACAATAAAACAAACGCACAGCCAAATTTAATGACAAATTGCAATAAACTCAATGAAAGAAAAACATGAGGTGTCATGAGAGGAAATAATGAAGGGATTGGCATAGTGGAGGAGATTGGGGTATTTACAAAGGCTTGGTCCTAAAGGAGTGGGTAGGGATTAACCAGACAGAGCTGGTGGGGATAATCATTGCAGCCAGGGCTCCAAAGACCCTGAGGTGGGAGATTGTATAGGGTGTCCGAGGAACTGAAATGTCTGTGGAATATGGGTATCAGGATAAAACCTGTAGAGAACTGAGATTGGAGAGGTTAGCAGAGGCAATTACACTGAACCTTGTAGGCTTTTAAGGATTTTTATACTTTATCTTTGTTCCTTGAAATCACTGAAGATTTTCAGGGCAGAGAATTATATCACCAGACTTGCATTTTAAAAGATTACTTTGGCTACAGAGTAAAGAAAGTATTGAAAGACATAAGGAGACTATTGTGGATGTCTACACAATAGAAGATAGTATTTTGGACCAGGATGGAGATGGTACAGATAGGGAGAAGTGGATGAATTTAAAAGATACATTGGAAGTAAAATCTATCGTTCTTGAAGATAGAGTGGAAATGGAGCATAAAGAAATGGAAGGGGCGAAAGATGGAAAGGGGTAAGAAGTCAGCAGATGGCTCGGCCGGTGTGGCTCAGTGGTGGAGCATCCACCCGTGCACCGCAAGGTTACCAGTTCCATTCCCGGTCAGGGCACATGCCCAGGTTGTGGGCCACATCCCCAGTGGGGGGCAGACCGGAGGTGGCCAATCAATGTTTCTATCTCTCTCTCTCTCTCCCCCTTCCTCTCTCTCTAAAAATCAATAAAGAAAAAAAAGAAGTCAGCAGATGAATTTGTGGAGAAAAAGCAATAAAAAAATAAAAGCATTCTAGGCAGAAGGATGCGTTACGGATGATGGAATGGAAACATAACACAGGATGGCGATGTGTGCTCTATACGGCTGGCACATGGAGCACACTGAGGAGTGGTAATGAAAGCTGGAGAAATTGGCTGCATCAGAGTGTTGTATGCCAGGCCAAGGAATTGAACATTCGTCTGTAGGTGATGAGAAGCAACTGAAAGGATTTAAGAAAGGAAGTAATAGGATCTGGAAGGTAATTCTGCAAACAGTATTGAGAATGACTTAGACAGGAGGAAAGTTAGAGTGATGGAGACCAGCTAGGAAGTGAGGGTAAAAGATGAGTTAGGGACTAAACCATGGCTTTAGTAGTAGAGACAGAGAAAAGAAAGATGCTAAGTTCCATTTGGACATGTTATGTCTGACATGTCCAGGAAGAGTGATATGTGAGTGTGGAGGTCAGGCAAGAAGTCAAGGCTGAAAATTAAGATTCAGGGGATTAGTTCATAGTGGAAGTCAGAGGCATGGATTAGTTCACCGGGGCCTGTGTGAAATCTGAGAAGAATCTTGGGAAAGAGACAGGTAACCAACATTTAAAGGACTATTAAAAGAAGAGAAAGATTCAAATGAAAGTACAAAGAGAAACTGGAATCAGGGACTTATAGCAAAGAAGCCAGGGACCTAGTTTCCAAAAGGATAAAGTGGTCACTGGTATTAAATGTCAGAGAGAGAGGTCCTATAAAGACTAAAAACTGACCGTTGAGTTTAGCAATGAGCAGGGCGTAAGTGAAGGTAAGTAAGTGAAGAAGCGTTATTGAGAGCTGCTTCACAGTGGACTGGTCTTCAAGCAACTGTGGAGACACGGATGAAAGCACGCTGCTCTGCTCCAAATAAGTCGGTCCCCTTGAGCAGAGCTATAGAGCTCTTGTTTTATGGCCTGACTGTCCCCTGGGCAGAGTCCCTGCTCCACTTTTTCAGGAGTGACCTCTCCACTCTGAGTGGCACTTGCAGAGGAAAGGGGGTGGAGGCCCTGGGTCTTTTCAGGGCTCCCCTCATGGTGTGGAACAAGTATTCTCCTGCATTGATATTCTTGGCCTCTTACACCTGGAGCAGAGCCTAAGACAGAGCTCTGAGGGGGGATAAGAAACACCAGCAGTCTGTCCCTCCTGGGGTGAAACCATAGCCAAAGACTAGAGCTGGAGGGAGAGGGGCCCCATTTTCGGCCACACCTGCCCAGAGTGCAGGGGAATAAAATTCATCGATCAGCAAAGGGGAAAGGAGGAAGTCACGGCTCAAATGCCACAGATTCTGTTCTTACTGAGACCGAGTAGATTTTCTTGAATGAATGTTTCTACATTTGCTCTATGCCCCTAGGACAATTTATGGAGACTTTAATTGCTTGTTTTATTTTTAAAAGTTAACTTATTTTGTTGGGGAAAAGGTCAACTAAGATCCTTACTCTGCTATTCCAGAGGTCCCCTCTCTCTCTACTATTTTTACAACTTCCTATGAATATATAATTATTTTCCCCCCAAAAAAACTTTTTTTTATTAATTGAACATAGCCATAATTGATTGGTTGTAGCATTATAGGAACCATTACAATTCAGTCTTGCCATTTTAAGGTAAAATGGAAATGGAAGTGTTTCATCTTCCATATTTTGCAAGCATCTTGGAAAACAGAATATTAATATTACCAAGAAGCTATGTTTTGTGCTTACTGGAGAGTATGTGCCAGGAAAGGACATTCTGCCTCAGTCTAGTGGACCGCATGTAGAGTCCATCCGCCTCTTCCATGTGAGGTGTGTGTGTGTGTGTGTGTGTGTGTGTGCGCGCGCACTCTTCACTGGGTATGTCTTCACCCCCTGTAGATCCGTTCCGTTGTGTGGAATGCAGATGACAGCAAACTGATTTCTTGTGGCACAGACGGTGCGGTATATGAATGGAATCTGTCCACAGGAAAGAGAGAGACGGAATGTGTGCTCAAGTCCTGCAGCTACAACTGTGTAACCATCTCTCCTGATTCCAAAATTATCTTCGCTGTTGGGTCTGACCATACCCTCAAGGAGATTGCAGATTCTTCCGTGAGTCTGCGCCTGCCCCGCCTCTGGGCTGCTACACTGATTTGCAGGGGACAGCCTCTGTGTTTACAGAAGACAGTGTGGTGGGAACAGGGCCTGTGAGAATAGGGTCCCCTCTTCATGGGGTAACACCTGGCTCCTCATTCCTTTTCAGTCACTTCAGCTATTATTGCTCCTGGAATTTCCTGCCCAGTGCCCTACCTGACTGGGCTAAATTGTGGGGCCCCTTTTCACTTAGATTTTGTTTGCTGTTTAGAACTTCTCCCCATCCTGCAGGCATGGAGCTCATCAGCATCTCCAAACTGCACTCTTACCCTTGATCTGCACTGACTTTCCTGGGGTAAAAATAGAGCTATAGTTATTGCTGTCACCTAGGCTTGCCACCGTTTTTGTTTGAGACAACCCCCAAACTCCGGAATCGTAGAATTATGACATTTGGCTCCAAAGAGTTGAGGGGAGGAGAGAAGAGCTCAGCGAGGACACTTCATACACACGTGGTTGTGCCCTTCGCCAGGACCCAGCGGCAGCTGGTCTTCACTGGTTTCTCTTGCTTTCCTTTGGCTGATCCCTGAGGAAGTAGATGTACCGCTGCAGCACACTGACCTGAGGCAGGATTCCCCATGACTGGAACACAGCTTAGAGGAGGGTGTCTCAGCTCGTGCCCCAAGTAGTTTGGTCCACACTGTGTGGTGGCCTTCACAGTGCTGCACCAGAGCAAAGCTCCGGCAGGGCAGGGCCATGGTTCTCCCCTCCTGCTTCCCACTAGCTGGCATCCACTGCGTGGCCCCGTGCAAACAGTCGATCAATGTCGGGGGCTTAGTCCGATGGATGGGTGAGTGAATTAATATGTGAAGGAATGAGTTTCCTGATAGTATAGTTTTGTTTATATAATGAACATTAATCAGTGTTTGCTGAATAAGTTTATGGGCCACATCCCGTCTGCATTTGGGATGCATGGTAATATAGCAGAGCAAATACTCTGCAGCCTGACTGCACTTACGAGGTGGGTGGTTGAGGCAAACAACCTGCCATCTCTGTGACTCTGTTTCAGGGATAACAGTAACTCTCTGGAAGGGGGTTTGTGAGGATTCAATGAGTTACAACATATAAAAGCCATAGAATGGTGCTTGGCACCTAGAAGGTGCTATTTGAAGGTCCCCCTTTATTGGTGTTATTTCTAACTTGTAGACCTGTTTATTATCAGTCAAGCAGCCAACACATACTCAGTGTGTGCCTTTTATGTGCTAAGCACTATTGCAGATGCCATCAGGAATGGGAGACACATTACTTAAATACAGAGCTTGCCCTAACATTGCTGTCAGAGGAGAGGAAGAGAATGACTTGGGAACCTGGGGACATGGCTCAGCCCTCACAGAGCTGTCTTTTCTCCAGATCCTTCGAGAGATGTCAGCATTTGATGTCATCTACACGGCCATTGTCATCTCTCACTCGGGGCGCATGATTTTTGTGGGTACCTCAGTGGGAACAATTCGTGCGATGAAGTACCCACTGACTTCGCAGAAAGAGTTCAATGAATACCAGGCCCATGCTGGTCCTGTCACCAAGGTGAGAGGGGACCCTCTTTTCAGGGAACCCTCTTTTCAGAGGCCCAGTCCCAGAGCTAGCTGTCAGTAGGTCCATTTATCCTGCCCCCACATTCCTTCCTCACCCCATTGACCTCCCAATGTCTTTTCTGTCTCCTGATTTATTTATCCAGCCATCCATTCACTAGACACTTTTTGGCTATTAATATTCTTTGTTTAAACTATTCCTAGTAATTTATCCTAGGAAATAATCAGAGCTGCACCCAAAGGTTTGTGTACAAGGTTGCTTACCACAATATTGTGGACAATAAAGGGCCATTTGAGAGATGCTGTAGGTGCCCCACCCAGGCCTCTCTCCGGCTAGTGTCTTCCTCCCAGCTCTGAGTGTTGGCTGATCACAGCTCTCCCTCTCCTCCTCCACGGAAGTTCCCTGGACTGAAAGGTGTCATAGCCCAGGAGATGAGCCCCTCCCCCACCCTGAGGGTGCACAGGCCCTCCCTGGGGGTAATAACATGAGCACATAAGCACACATTTGTCCATTGTCCCTTCATTCTCCCTTCTAAATAGTAGTGTTTCTATTTACACGGAGCTCTGAAGAAACCAGCACTGGGAACATGCGTAGCTCTTCCCCCTACCCCTCCCTTACACCAGACTGAACAACACCAACACCTGAGGCTTTTTATTATGTCCTAAACTGTTGGCTCACCTAGTATAGACACTAACTTTATTAAGAAAGGATTTTTCATTATAACCTGGAACATTCCTGTACTGAGCCTGGTTCTTGGGTCCAAAGTAAATTACTGTGACATTCTGGACAAGATGTTTATTTTTCTGATTATAAAAGCAATGCATGTTTATTTTAGAAATAAAAACCCCTCATAATATCATCATTAATATTTTGGTGCATCTTAAATTTCTACCCCTTTATGTATCTAGTGTGTGTTTTACATACATTGAAGTTATACTGTATGTACACTCTTTTGTAGCCTTAAAAAAAAACACACCTTAATGCTATTATAAGCACTTTGCCATATTTAGTAATTAAGTAGTCCTGAAAAGCATGATTTTAGTAGCTACAAAAATATTCTGTCATGTGATGGACCATAGCTCATGTAACTCTTCTCTTAAAACTGGGCGTTTAAGCTGCCTTGCCGGCTCTAATGAGTGTCCTAGGTACAGCTTTCCAAGGGCATCTCTGGTTATTCTCTAAGGCTAAATCCCTCGCCAGAGAGGGAATTCCCGAGGGGAAGGCCATTGCCGTCTTTAAGGTTTTTGACACATACTACTGATTGTGGGAGGACATTTTCACAGTTGACTCTTTTGTTTTTTTGTGTGTGTGTTTTATTCTGAAATAATAATAGGTTCACAGGAAATTTTAAAAATAGCATGGAGGTCCTGTGTACCCTTTCCCCAGCTTCCCCCAGTAATTACAACTAATGTGATGATAGTAGGGTACCAAACCAGAAAGTTGGCATCGGTACAATACGTGTGTATACGTCTCTGTCGCCTTATCTCATGCATAGATCTGTGTGCCCACCGCTGCAGTCAGGATACAGAACTATGCCATCCTCACAAACAGCTCCCTCATGCTGCCCTGTCCTAGTCACACCGGCCCTCACCACCCCGTCCCGAGTCCTTGGCAGCCGCTCATTTTTGTTCCATTTTTAAAATATCATCTTGAGAATGCTATATAAATGGAATCATGTGGTAAGTGACCTTCGGAGAGTGGCTTTTTTCACTCAGCATGATGTCCTTGAGATCCATCTAAGTTAGTTCACGTATCAGTAGTTGATTCCTTTGGACTGCCGAGTAGCATTCCAGGGTAAGGCTGCACCGTAGTTTTTTTTAACCACCTACCTATCTTAGGATATTTTTATTTTTTTTCCAGTTTTTGGCTATTGCAAATGAAGCTGCTATGAAAATCATGTACAAGCCCTGGCCAGTTTGGTTCAGCAGTTAGAGTGTCGGCCTGCGGACCAATGAGTCATGGGTTCGATTCTTGTCAAGGGCCCTGGTTTTGGTCGTGCAACTAGTTGATGTGTCTCTCTCACATCGTTCTCTCTCTCTCTCTTTCTTTCTCCCCCCCCACCCCACCCCCTTTCACTCTATATGAAAATAAAATGGAAAAATATCCTCGGGTGAGGATTTTTTTAAAAAAAAGAAGATCATGTACAAGCTTTTGTGTGAATCTCAGTTTTCATTTCTCTGGGATAAATGCCCAGGAGGACAGTTGCTGGATCCTACTGTAAGTATGTTTCATTTTTTACGAGCCTGTCAAGCTGTTTGCCATTCCCACCAGCGATGCACCAGACAGCCCGTTCCTCCACGTCACCGCCAGCATTTGGTATTGTCACTATTCCTAGTTTAGGTGTTCTAATGGATGAGTAGTGATAGCTAATCATGGTCTTAATCTGCAGTTACCTAATGGCTGAAAATGTCGAATGTCTTCTCCTGTCCTTATTTGCCATCTGTGCATCCTCTCCTGTGAAATGTCTCCATATCTTTTGCCTACTTTCTAGTTGGATTGTTTGGGGTTTTTACTGTTGAGTTTTGAGAGTTCTTTGAATAGTCTAGATAATGATTGGCTATAAGATTCCAAATGCACAGAGAATGTGGACACAGTCTTGCTTCTTTTATTCATTACCAGAAACCCGTGAGGGCTCCCGTCTTGTTCTTACCCAGGACTGACACCGCCTCCCCGTGAAGCTTGCCTGGGCTTGCGTGGAGGGAGGCTTGCGCGAGAGCCAGTCCCGCTCGGCGGGGCCTCAGAAATCCTCCCCTCCATGGTGTATTCTCAGATGTTGCTCACCTTTGATGACCAGTTCCTGCTGACAGTCTCCAAGGATGGCTGCCTGTTCACCTGGAAGGTCTTTGATAAGGACGGTCGGGGAATCAAGCGAGAGAGGGAGGTGGGCTTTGCCGAAGAGGTGCTTGTTACTAAAACAGACATGGAAGAGAAGGTAAGGATCTGATCTGATGGAGACAGATGTGGAGATTCCTTGTAGACTGCGCCCAAATTCCTGGGCCGGCATTCGAGGGCCCCTGCAGCCCGGCGGCACCAGTGCCCAGTGCTCCCTGCACACTCTGCCCCCATGGCCAGCTGCCCTCCTCTCTGCCGCTCGACCTGTTCCCACCGCACCTGGCTGCCACTCCCCCCGTGATCATCCTACTCTGTGTGCTACTAGTGGTCCAGACACTAGCTTTTCCCTTCCTGCTGTCTGAGGCCGGGGACCATGATGCACAATTCTCTTGTATGACACACAGTCTCTAGCCCATGGAAGACAGTCAATAAATATTGATAAAACTGAACTGACAAACTGAATATCACAGTTCTATCTGTGACACTTAATAACTGCTAGTGTATGGAGCCTTCTTTTTTTTATAAAAAGGTATTTTTAAAACATCCTGAAACCCATTCCTCATAATGATAAAACAAGAAAGTAATAACCAATAACCACCACTTTTTTAGGTTTGCCATGGACCGGGCACTGTGCTAATTACAAGCATTTTCTCATTTAAAGCTCACATAGTGTCTATGAAGAAGGTACTATTGTTCTCCCGTGATTCAAGAAATGGTTTCAGTGACATGTCTGAAGTCACCAAGGGCTCTGACGCAGATTTAGTCTCGAGCCCACTCTCTCTATTGCAAAGGGCCTTGCCTCCTGCTCATGTACTAAACGTGCCGTCTAGATTTGTTTCGGGTGCATAGCTCTGTGCCTCCCTCTCTGATGAAGAAGCTGAATGTAAACTCAAGAGGCTTACAGGGGAGAGTGAAACTAGGCACTCAGTGCTGTTCACACAGAATCCAAAGTGCGTTTATTGAACACCTACTGTTTACTAGGCGCTGAGGACGCATGTGTGAAACAGGCACTAGTCCTGTGATCAGGAAACTCAGTCAAATGAGAGATGGAGACCAGTAAAACCATCAGACCAGCAATGCTGAAGTGGCCCCAAAGCAGGATGGTGGGCCCCTGGCATTTCCTAGGGGTCCCTCCTAGAGCTCCCTGGAATTTTCTGCAGGAAAGGCAAAGTGGGGGGCAAGGAGGAGGGAGAGTCTTTGAGAGTTGGGGTCTGACCTACTGCAGGTAGACAAATATGTTTCCTCTTCCTTCTCCGTTTTCTTCTCTCTTCCTCCCTGAGAGTAAGGGAAGAGACCAAATAGGAGCTACCAGGCTGCACCCAAAGCCTGAGGTGTCTGACTCCTGCCCCTGCCGCCAGCTGGCCTGGCAGAACTGCTGCCACGCTGGACATGAGCAGTATGTGCACTGCTTGTCCCCAGACGCCCTCTCTCCTGGCGTCCACGAGACATGCTCTTACTGTCCCCTGCGAGCCTCTCTGGCTGTTCCTCCCGGGCCCTTCCTCCACCTGACCGTTACTAGTCACATCCCCAGAATTCCCAGCTCCGTTCTTTCATTACAGTCTATGACATTCTATGTCGCTATCTCTCAGGTCAGGATTTACCCACTCATTCAGCCATTCATTTATTTATTCATCCATCTAGCCGGTATCTACAGAGGGGTCTGCTGTGTACCAGACACTGTACCAGGTCTGGGATCACAGAAATGAAGGACAGAGGGGGCCCTTTAGCTTATAGCCTGGGAGGAAGTAGAGGTGGAATTTAAAAAGGGAATTTAGGATGTAATGGGTGCTATGAAGGAACAATGCTGTGGGGGTACAGGGGGGGAACCCTGACCCAGGCCAGGTGGTGCCAGAGGAAGTGAGCCTTGGATGGAGCCTTCCAGAATAAATGGGAAAGGATCTTAACACCCAGGAATACGTGTGTGCTGAGGAATGAGAGAGGGTCATTCCGGGGACGATGCCCCCGGCTAGATGGGGCCGGAGAAGAGAGGGTGTGCAGGGGGAGGGGCAGGAGATGCTGGAGAGAGAGAATGAGGGGCCTTTTGCATCATGTTTTAGACTTTGGAAAGTGTTCCCAAGGACCCGCAGACAGACCTGGGTTAGGGAATGGCTGCTCTGCAGAGCGTGGAGAAGCCCTTGAGGGAGGATGATGAGCAAATACGTCAAGCACAGCCTGTCAACACTAGATTATCCCAACAATAAATGTATTCTACTAGTCCGGGCAGCCCCTGGGACCATCTATTCACTTGATAAATACTTAGTTAGTGCTGATGATGTTGTGGTCCTGTGCCAGGCTCCCAGAATAAAGCAGTGAAACAAGACAGACCAAGTGTACCCACAGGGAACAATCTAGCAGAGGAGTCTTCATCCCCAGCCCTCTCACCTTCGCCCCAATTAGGCCCCACATTCCCTAAAATCTCTCGAATCTTTCCACTACCCTGTGCTCTCCCTGCCCCACCTCCAGCCGAGCCCCTGCCATCCCCCCGCCCCGTCCCTGGCCCGAGCCTGGCCCCTGCCTTCGGTTCTCTAATCTAGCCTGTGCTAAACGCTGCCATCGGAGGTCCTTTCCAGGCCAAAGTCAACTTGATCAGGTTAGACAAGGACCTTCGGAGGCCCTCTAGGGTAAAACCCAAATTTCTTAGCATGGCCTCCAGGGACCTTGGTGGTCTGACCCAGTCTCGGCCTCCTCCCTACACCAAACCACACTCGGTGCCCTCGCTTTTCCCTTCCTGACTTTGTACTCGCAGCTTGTGTTCATCTCTCGTGTGCCAGATCCACGCTAGCCCACTGGCCAGGAGCAGAGGCGTTCACAGCTCGCTCCCTGTCCTCTAGTTACCCTCGGCCGCAGGGGAGACGGGCCAGACAGGAGGAGGGGGGAGCACAGCGTATTGATTAGTGAGCAAGAAGAAAACACCTGTGTTCTTGCCTCCTCGGTCATCAACACTAACTTTTTTAAAATGAGGTGTGTGTGTAGTACAGTATTTTTATGAAACCGTGGCAATGATGACTGCTGTAGATTGAAGGAAGAAGGCACTAGACCTAGGAACCAGGAAGTTGGAGTCTTAGGATCTAACCTGACATAGTAACAGTGGGGCCAGAGGAAGAATAACAGATGCAGGGGGACAACTGAACAGTCCTGGGAACCGCCCGGCTTGGGGCACTTAGCGCAATTCATCCCGCTCTGTTTATTCTGACTGTAGGTGCCACGGGGCAGGAATCACGGTTCAACAAACATTTTTTGAGAACCTGCTAAGTGTTGGGGACGGTTCTAAGTACTTGGGGTGTATCAGTGGACATGCCCACAAAGATCTCAGCCTTCGTAGAGCTTAAATTCTAGTGGGGTGTGAAGACAAAGACAATAAACAAAATGATAAAGTATGTATTAGAAAGTGCCAAGATCCAAGTACATAATTAAAAGTAGGGCAGAGTGCGGGGGGTCATGAGTGCCGGGAATGAGAAAGTGAGAGGAGCAGGCTTAAGCAGTGTGGCCCCATAGACCCACGGAGCAGGCGACACGTACCCGTATTTAAAGGAGATGAGTTATTAGCACAGTGCCTGGCACACAGGAGGGCTCACCTAGTGTATGTTATGAGGGTAGAGGAAGAAGCTCATATGTCTCTTAGTTTTTAGTCTGTGTGTCTGGCGGTGGAAAGGTGACACGTGCTGGTTGAGGCACATGAGTTGGAGGCTAACCAGAGCTGCAGGTCTCAGAGAGCTCAGGCCACAGATGTAAGGTCCGACCACTCACACTGTGTTCCTGAGTCTGTGTCCTTCTCCCAAAGGCTCAGGTCATGTTGGAGCTGAAGACGCGCGTGGAAGAATTAAAAATGGAGAACGAGTACCAGTTGCGACTAAAGGATATGAACTATTCTGAGAAGATTAAGGAGCTAACAGAAAAGTTCATCCAGGAAATGGAGTCCTTGAAAACAAAAAACCAGGTCTGTGTCAGAGACAAAGCCAGCAACCGCAAATACCCAGAAATGTCCTATTTGCTCCAATGTACTCAAGATGGAAATGGCAGGTGCTCCTAAAACAAGATGCATGACAACGTGTGATCAGAAAGCATAGCTGGTAACGTCAGCAATGAGTACAGCCAAGTGGCGAGTGGGAAAAAGCAGACAATAAGATGGTAGTGAATAGTATTAAGTAAAATAAATACACGTGGAACAATTTTTAAGAAAATAGCTAACAGCATGATTATCTCTGGAAAGTAGAATTCTGGGTCATTTAAATGTTATTTTTTTATACTTTCATATAATTTACAAATTTTCTACAGTAAGAATATATTACCTTTATGATCAAGAGAAATTTATTTAAAAATAAAATGAACGGTCCCAAGAAAAACTAAGTATAGAAAAAAAGCTGCCCTGGCCAGTTAGGCTCAGCGGTTAGAGCGTTGGCCTGCGGTCCAGAGAGACCCGGGTTCGGTTCCCGCTAAGGGCATGTGCCTTGGCTGCAGTTTGTCCCCGGCCCTGGTTGGGTCGTGTGGGTGGCGGCCACTCGATATGTCCCTTTCACATCGATGTTTCTCTCTCTCTGCCTCTCTCTCCTTCCCACTCTATCTGAATAAAAAATGGAAAAATGTCCTCGGGTAAGGATAAAAAAAATTAAAAATAAATAAATAAAAGAAAGAAAAAAAAAAAAGCTACCAGAGCATTGATCTCCAGGTTGTCAGTAGGTTGAATGAAATTGGTCTAAAGGGTCTTTCTGTGCTTAGATTTGGTCCAGGACTCTCTTGGAATAATTTCTTTGTTCTGCACTAATCTGCCTTCATCCCACATTCCCTATTTTTGGCTCAAGGGATATTTGTTATTTTATGTTATCTCTGTGGGTCACAGAGTCGGGCTTGAAAACAAAACAAAATGAAAAATCAGCCTGTCTGTCCATTTTACTGTTTCACTCATTTGGTCAGCAAACTTGAATTTGGCGCCCTCCGTAAGCTAAGCACAAACAGGTCCTGGAGGCTGCACCTCCCCTGCCCGCAAGGAGCTCCCTGCTCCGTTAAAGGAAACACCTCCTTCGATGCTGACACGTTAACTCAAGGATTTCCTTAACAAAATGTGCTGACAGCAGAGGATTCCACTGAATCCTCACTTTGTTCACCCAAAAATGCACCTGCTACGTGTCCAAAACGGAACTCGTTACTAAGACCCACTTAGCGGAAGCATATGCGTAGTGACACGACGGAGCTTTTAGAGCAGAATAGAATGTAAATAAAAAGAGGTGCTTGCTCGCTGCTCCCAGACAGTGCTTAGCACAAATGTGTGCCCCAGTCCTGCTTCCAGCAGATGTGGAGAAACGAGAACATTTGACCCTGTGTTTTAGGTTTTAAAAACAGAAAAAGAAAAGCAGGATATATTTCACCGTGAACACATGGATGAACTCCTAGACAAACAAACCCGGGAACTGCAGGACCTGGGTGAGTCCACAGCAGAGGCCCTGTGGGCAGAGGGTGGCTGGTCAGGGGCAGAAGTCTGAGAGTCCCCCAGACCCGGCAGACGTCCTAGGCGATACAGCTGTGTCTATGAACAGGCTGCGTTTATCCCCTGGAAGTCACCGTGGATTTTACTCCTACGTCTTTTACTCATTCAGTGAGCACAGATCACACACAGGTCAGCAGGAGATACGGGAGAGTGCAGGTCTGGAGCCTGATGGATGGTCCCAGACTCACCGTGTGCTTGCTGGGCGCTCCAGGGAGTCACCTGACCTCCCCCGGCCCCAGGGACTCTTCTGTAAAGTGAGGGTCCTGCTACCTAGTTTGCACTCTCGGGACATTCTTCTTGGCCCTGGAGCCCCAAGCACCCCGTCTACACTTTCCTCCAAACCTTTCTGCATAGTCAGCAAAGGGAGGGAGCCTGGCTGCCTGATGGGATGGTGGGGCTGTGGGCAGGTGAGGGAGACGGGCAGGCATCTGAGTGTTGGCTGTGGAGGCAGATGTTCCAGCGGTGCTGCAAGGGGGTGACAAAGCACCCAAGGTCTGAGGTGTCCCTGAGGGTGGTGCTACTGTCCCACCTTAAGTACCTTCCTCGCTTCTCTTCAGAATGTTGCAACAACCAGAAGTTGCTTCTGGAATATGAGAAGTACCAGGAATTGCAGCTCAAGTCCCAGAGGATGCAGGAGGAGTATGAAAAACAGCTTCGGGACAACGATGAGACCAAGAGCCAGGCCCTCGAGGAGCTGACCGAGTTCTACGAGGCCAAACTGCAGGAGAAGACCGCTCTCCTGGAAGAGGTACTCACGGGAAGCCGAGCTGAGCCTCCCTTCCCCGGTGCGCCTTGCAGGCCCCGTGAACAACCCGAGACCCCGGGGAGCTTGCCTGACCTCCTTTCCCCACCTCCTTTCAGTACGTGTGCCCTGCAACCTCTGTTTCATACATTTGCTTCTCTGCAGACCAGGGGGCTCACTGTGCTAGGAGGTGCTCTGTTTTTGAGACTGAAATTCCTTGGGCAGATTAAGTTCATACCTATTGTTCTATCTTAACTGTACCCTCAAGCCTTAAGAACCAGGGAGATCTTTCTAGAAGAAGCATATAGAACCTGAAGAGGAGCAAGGGCCCTGACTGATGGGGAAGGTGGTTGCCTGACACCCCTTAGTAACGTCTTATGTCTTACAAGATGAAGTCGTTCTTTTACTGATCTAGCAACACAAGTAGCATCTTGTTGGTTTACCAGCCTGAGTGCTGGGTGACCGGGAGGAAAGAGAGGCCTGGCTCTCCGCTGGGTGGGGTGGCGGTCACATGCGACACTCAGAAAGGTGTGCCTGCTGACAAAGGGCACCAGCCACCCTGGCCTGGGAGCTGGGGAAAGGGTTGCAGCAGCTACCTCCATCCAGGAGGGGTACGTTGGAGTGACCCGGAGTCGGGAAGTGCGGGCACCTGGGTGTCCGGCCGTGTGCTGGGACAGGATGAGCGAGCAGTCTGGGATGCCAAAATGCCTGGTTTCCCAAGATGAAGAGAAAACTGAGAGAGGCCGGATGGCCTCCTTTTCGGCGTGACGTGGTGGCAGATGGTGTGCTGAGAGCGAGGGGCAGGAGAGTCATGGAGGCGTGGAGCGATCCTTGAAGGGAGCGAGGATGGGAGCGACCAAGGACGCCTGCCAGGTGTGGCTGAGCCGAGTTCAGGCTGGAGCTGTGGACTCCGTGGGTCCCGGCCAAGCCGTCCACCGTCTGCTCGCTTCCAGCGGGCACAGCGAGCAGGTGTGCAGTGAGGGGCGCAGCAGCCTGACGCAGCCAGGCTCTTACTGAGTGGTGCCGCACAAAAGACAGGTCAGCCAGTGGCCGGCCATTTGGTCCAGACCAGAGAGGAGTCAGTGAGGAGACGTTACAGGGCCCTCTCTAACCAGCCCTGGTTCTGACAGGGAAAACCGAGTCAGCATCCGGAAGCCCTCAGGGAGCAGGGGAGGTGACCGGACAGTGGACGAGAACCTCTGAGAAGCAGGGTGCGGGCCTCCGATGGCGAGAGCCTCAGAGCAGGCTGGGCCCTGACAGCCGCAGGGGGGTTGCACCCCACCTGAGCCCAAGGTTCACTGCGGTCCCTGCCCGTGAGGAGTGCTCCCTATCATGGCTCCTTGGAGCCTCCCTGGCTGGGACCTGCCCCCTCCCAGCCCCCTTTCCAGCTGTCCCAGTCCAGCTCCCTCCATCTAACAATACAGAGCAGCCAGGAGTTTCCCACACAACCTCCGGCCTCTGGTCAGCATGACCCCTCTTCCCAGGGCTCCTTCCCCTTCTCCTGGCCACGTGTGCTCACCGTACAGACTCAGGACAGGAGCCAGCTCCTTGAGGAATTCTCTGACCTCTCTGCCCTCCATGGGCCGAGCTGCCTTCCTGTGCTCAGGGCCGCACAGGCTTCCTCCCAGGTGGCTCTCAGGGCACCGGCAGCCAGAGCTCTGCCTTAGGGACAGTGACTCCATCGGGGGAGAGAGGCCGCCGTCCTCCTGCACCTCCCACCGTGACCCGGCACATGTCTTCTTCTGACTCCCGGAGATTTTAGCTCAGAGCTCTCCTAGGGAGCCTCCACCTGGCCGCCTCCTGACTGGCCTGGCTGGGCTGCGTTTACTTGTCAGCAACATCTGCCAGGAAGGGGCCGGCGCGCGTGGGCCACGTTAGCTTCAGACAGAGCCGACCTTACAGACACACGTGGAGGAACCACACGGGCCATGTAGACCCAGCTCAAGTGTCTGGACTCTACCCCGAGGGCAGGCTGAGCCACGGGAGGCTTTCGGGCTGGGGGTGGTGTGGTCAGGTGTGTGAATTAGACGGTTCCCCTGAGTAGAGAGGGGAGCAGACTGGAGGGAGGCAGGGCTGGAGATGGGAGGCTGGTGAGGAGGCGAGAGACAAGGGTGGCTTGGGCGGTGGTGGAGGCAGAAAGGGTAGTGGACGGTTCAGGAACTCTGGAAGGTGGAAGACCAGGACTGATCGGGTCAAAGCTTTGGAGGCAGTTACAGACTCTCACATTCGTTCAGGTATTTGCTGCGTACTGGTGTGTGTTGTACGCTTGGAGCTCAACTGTGATAGGGTTTCTACCCGTGAGGAACTTACATCTAGTGGGAGAGACAATAAAATAATTTCACAAATAAATATAAAAGTCCCAAGTTTAGTGAAGGAATGCTAGAGGAAGCCTGGGGTCTGTGTGAAGGCTGCAGGTAGAACAGGGTTTGGGGCGTTGGTAAGACAGTGGTCGAAGTGATGGAGCCTGAGGCCTGATCTGGTAGGAAAAGAAGGGAAGGTCGAAGCCCAGACAAGAAGAATGTGGGAGGGTCAGGGACCCGTGGCCTTGGTTTCCATTCCTGTAATGAACTCAGTCTCCCACTGCCCCGAAAGGCCCGAGGGCGCCCCCCGCCAGGCCCTCCCGCAGGAAGGTGCCCGCGCCCCTCCTCCTGGCACGCTCTCCCTCTCTGGGCCAGGCGCAGGAAGACGTCAGGCAGCAGCTTCGGGAGTTTGAAGAGACCAAGAAACAAATTGAAGAAGATGAAGACCGAGAAATCCAAGATATCAAAACCAAGTATGAGAAAAAGCTTCGGGATGAAAAGGAGTCAAACCTTCGGCTCAAAGGAGAAACAGGCATCATGAGGAAGAAGGTATCGGGCTGTTCCCTGAGAGGCCAGGGCAGTGTTGCAGAGAAAGCGTGGGGCGGGTGGGGGCTGGGGCGGGCGGCGGGGGGTGGGTGTTGGAGGGCTGGGGGCGCAGGCGGAGGGCTCCGGGGGTGGGAGAGGCCACCTGCAGGGCCGCACCTTCAGCAAGCGGGTCAGGAAGGAGTGCTGCCTGGCGTCAGGGTTCTCTCTGCACCTGGGCACAGATCCTGCCACGTCCTCTGAAGGGGCGACGTCAGAGCTTCCCCTTCCCTTTCCAGAGTTAGTGAGGCTCACTGGGACACTGATGGACACTCTGGGCTTTCATGTGTGGCAAGTAGGATTTAGTCAAAGTTCTCAGAGCCGAACCCCTGCTAGAAATGGAAATGAGGTCTGGAGGTGAGCTAGTCTTCACCTGGAGTGTCCTCAGGTCCCTGGAGCAGGGAGTTCATGGGTGGGAGAAGGCCTAGGGGTCTAGGATGTTTACTATACAGGGCAGGGCAGAAGCAGTTAGTCACTGATGGTTGGGGTGAGGAGGATTCAACTTGCAGATCCTTTTAGAATTGACTCAGTTTTCCCAAAATGTTTAGTGAGAGAGAAGCCAAGTTCCAAGCAAGCCCACATTCATCCATGTTAGAAATCACGCCACTACTAGTCAGGAACAATCATGTCTTCCTTTCTTGGACATGGCTAAGAAAACTCATCAAGTCGGGCTCAATCTTTGTGACCTTGATGGGGCATGGATTCCAACCTTTCAAGGCCGGTGAGGTCGTGGACAACTCTGGGTCCACTCCGGAAGCTGGTCTCCGGAGCCTCTTGATACAGACAGTCTGTCCTCACGTAAGGGGGTGGGACTGGATCTTACCCCACAGACACTACCTGATCGATGTGGCCTGGGAAACTCCTGATGGCCCCCCATTCTGAGGGGGAGCTCTTAAAATCTACAGAGAGTTGGGAGGAATGGAGATGAGGTCAAAGCCTTTGTGGTCTTTGTTTTTGTGATTTGTACCTTTAGTTCAACAGCCTGCAGAAGGAGATTGAAGAGAGAGCCAACGACATCGACACCCTGAAGGCGGAGCAGGTGAAGCTGCAGGGAGTCATTAAGTCCCTGGAGAAGGACATCCTGAGCCTCAAGCGGGAGATCCAGGAGAGGGATGAGACCATTCAGGACAAGGTGAACATCCATCTCCTGTCCTCCCTTCACTGTCGCCTAGATGGCGCCAGGCACCGAGGACAAAGTTCAAGAGAGGGTCCCTGGCTTTGAAACGCGTTTACTTAACTTGATGAGGGATAAGCGGTCAGAGCAGTACGTACTCTGTGCTTGGCACTGGGCTGATAGCTGTAAACACCTCACATTGAATTCTCCCAGCAACCCTGGGGGCCACCAGCAGCCCAGTTGTAAAGTTCAGGAAACTGAGTTCCGAGCTGTTATCTTGCCCGAGGTCATGCATGTAATAGGTGATGACTTTGGATTAGAGCCTGAGTCTGCTGACTGCAAGGCCCCTGCTCTCTGCTGCTCCAGGTCTCCTAGGGTGGCTGTCCCCAGCTCACCTGCCCCATTGCCCCGTGGTGTCCCGGTCAGAGAGGAACTCCCTGTGTAACTGCTAGGCACCCCCAGAAGGCTGGTATCACTTTTCAGAATGCCTTTTCTCACAAAACACTGAGAAGACAAACACATCACATTTTGTGAGACATACCACCTCGATATCTAAAATTTGGTATCATCCTCCTGAGCAAATCCAGGCTGTACTGTAACCGCCTTAGGCCGAATTCTCCTGGGGTTGAGAACACTCGGGCTTTGGCCTAGTTAACTAGGTTCCAGCTCAGGCGCTTCCATTTATCAGCCAAGGATCTTTGTCTTCTCACCTGTGAAATGGGACCCCTCGGGGCATCTGATAGGAAGAAATGAGACAGTACCTGCCCGTAATTTCTACATGTGAGTGTTTACGTATATCTCTGGGCATTTTTTTAGGGAGGTTTTAAAGTTCTCTTCAGATTCTCAAAGGGGGGCTTTGACAAGAAAGAGGTTAAAACCTGACCTAGACAATTACAACAGCCTCCTGACTGGTCTGAAGGCCTTGCTTCCCACCTCCCAGCCCGGCTCCCTGCCACCATACTCTAATTACGCCACTCTCCCATTCAGAGTCTTCCCTAGCTGCCCAATGCCTAGGGCAGGGGTCAGCAAACCTTTTTCTGGAAAGGGCTAAGCAGTAAACACTTTACTCTCTGCAGGCAGTAGGTCTCTGTCACAGCTACTCAACTCTTCCATTGTAGTATCAGCCACAGACAACGCATAGATGAATGGGGTTGGCTATGTTCCAATAGAACCTTATGAAAACAGGTCAGAGTTGATCTGCGGGCTGTAGTTTACCAACTCCTGGCGTCCTGGATAAATTCTGACCCTTTTATCCAACACACCAGACCCTTGCTTCCTTCCCCTATATGCCCCCAGCCTGATTCTTTTCTTTCCCATGAAACACCACCTTATTTTCAGCACCCTCAATACATACTTCACCTCCCATACCTTCCCCTTCTACACCTGTCACAGTGCAGGGTACATTTGTTGACACATCTGCTTCCCCAGCTAGTGTTTTCTCCTTAAGGGCAAGATCTGTGTCATAGTTTTACTTGGTATCTCAGACCTTGATGAACAGTCTTCATTTAGTAAATGTTTGATGGATAGATAGACTTGCCTTTTAGTCACTAGCGCCTTGCAACGAATTACTCCAGCACTTAGTGGTGAAAGCCAACAACTCTTCTATTGTGCTCACAGATTGCATGTGTCTGGAATTTAGGCAGGGTACAAGAGGTTGGGTTTTCTTTGTCCCCAGTGTCTGGGGCCCAACAGGGCCTCAGTCAGGGGGACTCAAGCAGCTAGGGGCAGGAAGATCAGCATGTAAGGTGGCTTCTTCATTCACACGCCCAGCCCCTTGGCAGGGACAGCTGGGAGGTGGGATTAGCTAGGACCTAACGTGTTCTTCAGCCTGGAGGTCTCAGTGCAGCGGGACTGCTTATGTAGCAGATGCCCCTCCCCCCGAACCAGGTGGAGCTGCTCTGCCTTCTCTGAGCTAGCTGGGGAAGCCACACAGTGTCATGCGAGCTACATTCTGTGGGTTACAAGCGAGCCGGAAGTCCAGCCAGAGGCAAGAGGAATCAGAGCCTGACTCCTAATGGAGGAGCATAAGGTCGTACTGTACAAGAGCAGGTGGGGCGAGAGGTGCTGTGAGGCCAGCTTTGGGAACAGGTGGCCACAGCCTGTGTGTGAGGAGTGAATGAATGCGTGAAGTCCTGGCACAAAGCCCAGGAGTCATGTCCCCAGCCAGGAGAGCTGTCTGCGCCTCCTCAGTGGGATCCCATGTACCCAGACCTCCTGACACCTCACTTGTCTCTCATCTCACCCACAGGAGAAGCGAATTTATGACCTGAAAAAGAAAAATCAAGAGCTAGAGAAATTCAAGTTTGTGCTCGACTACAAAATAAAGGAGCTGAAGAAGCAAATAGAACCGCGAGAGAATGAGATCAAGGTGATGAAGGAACAGATTCAGGAGGTGAGAAGGCCTCACCCTGCCCTCCCCCACCCAGGGCCTGCTAGTCCTGGCTGGCCTGGGGGAACGGAAGAAAGCTCTCCTCACAGTCCCTCCCTGCTCCCGAGGTGTGCAGCCTCCACTCCTCACAGGATGCCCCGGAGGCAGCGCATCTGGGCGTTCAGCTGTGCAAAAGCAAAATGCTTTGGGATTTGGCTGGCTGTGGGTCCTGGGTGGGCTTTGGCCCTACCAGCTCCTCAAGATCCATGCTCTGGGCCCTCTGAGGGAAAACCATGGCTGTTGGGCCTTCGGCCACCAGGGGGCAGTGTGTATTCAGTTACCAGCCATGGGCAACAGTAAGGACACCCCTCCAATTCAACATTTTTTTCCCAGACTGGAAATGTTAGCTGGGGCTTTGTGCAAGGCTGTGTTTGGACTTCATCGGCTAAGGAATGGGAAGTCATCAGAGGCCTTTGAGCAGGGGAGTGGCACAAGTAAGTGTGTGTTTTGGGAAGCAAACAAGATGAAGGTAGCAAGGAGATTAGAAGCAAGTGCAGCTGAAGAGGGTTTCCGAGAAGCTGGTGAGATACCGGTGTCCCCATTTGTCCCCTCTGCCCTTACACAGTGCACTTCCTTATGCCAAGTGTTTACCTGTCAGCCCCTCCCCCCATCTCTGGGCAGAGCCGCTGACAGTGGGGTCTGTAGTTGATTGAAAACTGAATTCCTGACTTCCCCTCCTCATTTTCCATGTCTCACGGTACCAGGATCCACCCAGGTGCTTAAGGTAGAGGTGTCAACGTCGTCTTCTTTTTTTTTTTTTAATTTTATTAAGTTTTTTTTCCTTTATTGATTTTAGAGAGAGAAGAAGGGAGAGGGAGAGAGAGATAGAAACATCAATGAGAGAGAACATTGATTGGCTGCCTCCTATATGCCCCCCACTGGGGATTTGGCCCATAACCTGGACATGTGTCTTGACCAGGAATCGAACTGGCGACCTCTTGGTGCATGGGTCGATGCTCAACCACTGAGCCACACCAGCTGGACTCAACGTCTTCTTGATTCTTCCCTTTTCTTAACTCCTATATCCAAATCATCACCAATACCTACTTGGTAGATTTCCAAAAGATACCTCAAATCGAACCCTCCTTCCTTTCTACTGCCATCACCCTGGTCCAAGCCTCCCCCATCTCCATTCTGGACTTGATTCCAGCCTCCAGTCCACTCTGCATAGAGGCCACAGTGAACCCCCATGATGTCCCATCCCACCTAGAATAAAATCCAAATGCCCTACAGAAGCCCAGGAGGCCTCTACCTGCCTCTCCAGCCTCATCTCCAGGCTCTTCCTCTTCTCCAGCCCACAGACTTTCTGGCAGTTCTGAGGATAAGCCAAGCTTTTCCATCTCAGGACCTTTGCAGTGCTGCCTTCTCTGCCCAGATGGCTCTAGGTCATCACATGACTGGCTTCTTCGGTCCTTCCAGGTCTCAGCTCATAGGCCACCTCTTCAAGGAGGCCTTCTGTGACCACCCTATCCTAAATGACCTCAGCTCCCCCTCCATTTTCTCTCATTGTATTGAGCAAGGATAACAAGTCAAGGGGTCAGAGTGCATCGATGGCCCAGCGAGAGCTGGAGGCACGAGAGCTGTGGTGGAGGAAGGAGAGCAAAGCCTTCCCTCCAGGAGCCTGGAAAGAGCCAGGTGTGGGCGGTCCAGGGCCGGGGTGGTCCAGAGTAGGTGCGTCCTTTCAGCAATGACTTTCTCTCTGACCTCTGGGATACGGAAGGATGAGACCAGCTGACCACAGAGCTGCCTCCTCTGGGGCCCCTGCCATTGTGAGTGACTTCAGCCCCCCCCCCCCAAATGGCCTGAGAATATGAAAGAGAGAGCAGAGGTCCACCTGCCTGGAATCGATGGGCTGCAGGCCCCTGGAAATCACGGCCCCGTTTCTCCCTCCTCATCTGACATATTTGTTAACTGGGTTTAAGATTGGGTGGGTTACTTTCCGCCCAACATACCTAAGTGCTTACTCATTTCCGTTCAGTAAGTGGGCCAACCATGGTATTGATTCTCAGCAGGGAATGTGCCCGAACCTTGGGAATGATCAAACAGGGCCGCTCCTACCCCACCCTGGTATCAGTTGCTGCCAGGGCTGATAGCCGGCCGACTCCTTCCGCTGGGGCCTCTGACCTCGGGGCTCCCCTCTGGAGGTCAGAGACACATTTGTGCTTCTCTATCTGTACAAATTGCTGTCAGTAATGAGGGTAATGTTCTAAAACCTGCCCCTTTGTGTTCAGAACATGGGTGTGGCTCACTAGAACCTCCCGATACCCCAGAAGGTGGCCCGGGGCCCTGAAATCTGAGTAGAGGACCTGAAATAGACCAGAGGGGCTACTCCATTCACTGTGAACAAAACCAGTGAATGTCCCATCCCCCCAAAAACGTTGAACCTCTCTATTAACAGGAACACTAGAGTCCACCAGATTTAGTGTGTAAATCAACATCCCCCCTCCCCTTTGCTGAGAGCGCAGCTGTAGCTGGTCTCACCCTCATCAGAAGCCAGACGCCAGTCGTATCTTCGGTCGATACAAAGGCGACCACAGACAGAAATCTCTCAGAAGCTGTGTGTGGTTTCTGCTTTCTCTTGGGAAGATGGGACAATCTCCTCAGTTGTACTTTTTTAGACCCTTTCAACAGAGTGAGGAGGCAGAGGTTCCTTCTCAGCTTCCTCTTTTCTATCTTATGCCTTTGGCTGGGGACACCTACATGCCAGTCCCTCAAAACCCCACTTCAGAGTCGGCTCTGATGAATTGTGGCCCCAGAGGGTCAGGATTTACTCACGCAGCGTCACAAAGTAGACAAGGAAGGTGCTTCTCTGCACAACCCTTCCTCAGGTTAGAGTTGAGGACCCAGTACTTGAGCATTATCAACTGATAAGGAATGTAAGCAAAGACGGTAATCAGCATGGTTGAAGGAACAAGGCAACTACGAGGGGAGAATTCATAGCCCAGCTATAGAAGCACTGGATCTGGGTTAACACATCAGCCACGGGGGTGGGGACTTGGGGGCTGGCGAGGAGTAGGAAGAAAGGTTTTGTTCCAGAGGACTGGTGGGAACTAGAAAAGACATGTCCTGGTATCGGGGGAGACATTCCCACGGAAAGACTTCGGTTGGGACCTAAACTTCACTCTCCCACTTTCTTATTCTGGACTCTGCCCCTTGCTCTCTGCAGATGGAAACTGAGCTGGAGCGTTTCCACAAGCAGAACACGCAGCTGGAGCTGAACATCACGGAACTGTGGCAGAAGCTGCGAGCCACTGACCAGGAGATGCGCAGAGAGAGGCAGAAGGTGCGCCGGCGTGCGCCTGGCCGTGCTTGGATTCGGGAGCCAGGACCTCTGCCGCGGGCAGCTGGCTTCTGTGCCACAAACCCAGCCTGCTGCTAACACTCAATCCCGGTTTAACGTGCTCCCTGGCTCACAGGCCTGCCAGATGTCAGGCCCAGGCCCATGGAGACGGCTGAATCCATCTGACACTATGAAATGACTGGGTGAAGTGACCAAGGGGTGGGAGTGCTCACGGCGTTGGCTTGTTTGTGCTGGGAAGGAGCATGCTCAGAGAGGTCATCTGTAGTCAGTGGTTCAAGGCCTTGGCTACCTAATCAATGCTGAGGGTGGGAGAACCTCAGAGATCATATTCCAGTCTCTTTCTGTAAGAAATAAGAAAAGCAGGGCCAGAAGGATTAGGATGTTAAGAAACTTCCCTCTGCACCCATAGTTAGTACATACAGAGCCAAGAGCCAGTACTGGGACCCTGGTCTTCTGGCCCTGGGCCAGGACTTGGCTGTACCTTTGCCCACTGGCACAGGGCACCCTGTGGTGCTGGCTGGGTTGGATTGGATGTTTCCATCCCGCACATTAAGGGTTGGCTGTGCACTGAGTAATACTGGAAGCTGCTACAGAGCTGCAAACGTGAGTGGACACCGACCCTGCTTCACAAACTGAAGAGGTTGCCAGGTGGTTTGTGGCGTGTGCATGATAACTGTCTTGCACAGGGAAGTCATGGACTATGAACACAGGGCTGCGGGAGCCAGGGGGAAGGAGAGACTCGCTATGCCAGGGGCAGGGAAGATGGGTACGGGAGAGAGCATGATGGAAGAGGGAGGCCCTAGCCCAATTTTGTCATTTTCCCCCTACCCACTCACAGAGCCCTCGGGAGGGATGAACCCTGGGTGAGCTACTAAAATAAGGAGGCCTGACCCGGCTGGTGTGGCTCAGTGGTTGAGCGTCGACCCTGCACCAAGAGGTCGCTGGTTCGATTCCCGGTCAGGGCACATGCCCAGGTTGTGGGCCCGATCCCCAGTGGGGGGCATGCAGGAGGCAGCCAGTCGATGTTCTCTCTCACCAGTGTTTCTATCTCCCTCTCCCTCTCCGTTCCTCTCTCTCAAATCGATAAAGAAAAAAAAAGAGGCCTGGAAGCCCTGGCCCCGGGGCCTGCGGGAGAGAATCGACACTCTGTCTTGGCTCCGAAAGGAGTCAGGGTGCCTACTGCGCTTCCTTTCATCTCTTAAGGTCTGTGGTCCCGAAAGGTACCCAGAGCCAATAAAGGGATCAGTGTGTGTGGCTGAAAGACAGCGCTGTTCAGGCCGGTGCACCGAGTTTTAGTGCCTCCACCTCCGGCGGTGTGCGCATCTAGGTCTCTGCCTGGTGTGGTCACCCGTAGGTCCCAGATGAAGTGTCTCTTGTCCCTGCCTGCAGCCATTAGCCTGCAGCCCCCGCCCCTGGAGAACCTACCGCTTCTGTGCCAGAAGTAAGCACCTCTGGTTACAGGAGCGGGACCTGGAGGCGCTGGTCAAGCGGTTTAAGACGGACCTGCACAACTGCGTGGCCTACATCCAGGAAGCCCGGCAGCTGAAGGAGAAGGTCCGGGCTCTCTTTGAGAAGTACGTGCAGCGGGCAGACATGGTGAGCTCTGCTCCCCCCTGCCGTCCCGCCCCTCCCGGTCTCTCCTTGCTCAGGGAGCCCTGTGCCCCGTCAGGTGGAGATCGCAGGGCTGAACACAGACCTGCAGCTGGAGTACACCCGCCAGCGGGAGCACCTGGAGAGGAACCTGGCCACTCTCAAGAAGAAGGTGGTCAAGGACAGTGAGCTGCACCGCACCGATTACGTCCGCATCATGCAGGTACCCGCATGCTCCTGGTCAGCTCCTTCAGAGGCTGATCCCTCACAGAGGAGAGAGCCTGGCAAGGGCCCCTTTGAGACCACCCAATACTCAGAGCTCCCCAAGTACCCAGGGGACCCACTAGCTTCCCCTAAAACGTTCTTTTTGACTCCTCTCCTCTGACCTCCCAGAACATGTCCTGGCTGTGACCAGGGCCCAGAGCCAAGCCAAGGAGGTTTCCTAGGCGTGGCTGTGCCCAGGCCTGCCCCACTGATGCCCATGCACTTCCCCCTGTCCCTTTGCCCGGCTCCTTTCTCTGCCCCATCTTTATGCAAAGCACTCTGACGCCCTGCCTCACCCCTCTGACCTTCATCCACGTGATGAAGAGTCACGCTCTCCTTTTCCCTTCCTCTGTTTCCAGCTCCTATTTCACCCACTGTGTTCAGCTGCGCTTTATTCTGCTACTGGTATCACTCGGTCCCTGCTGGCCAAGTTCTCTCCTGTGCACACGCTTGTCTCCACCCACCTCATCTGACTTTTCTGGTGCCTCAGGTCCCTACCCTTATCTCTTGGGTGCAGAGCTAACCACACCCACCCTGAGTTAATGAGCGCGCCACACCTACCTCTGGATCACAGGCTGTGCAGCGAGCCTGACCCCATTACGCCGCCTCCACATGCACGTGTTATCAGGACTGCCAGCCGGGCTTCTCTGTCCAGATTTCTGTTTGGGTATCAGTATCGTCTGAGGTAATTAGTGTGAATTAGTCAGAATCCGATTTCTAAGGCACATACCTTTTCATGTTTTATTTCTTTAATGCCGCAATTAAAATACTAGCATGGGGACGGGCTGCCCAGCGTGGCCAGCCCGTGCACCGCGGGGCAGAAAGCTCTGCGGCTCAGGCCAGGCCCAGGCACGGGAGGTCTCGTGCCATCTTGCAAGCAGCCGCTGCTTGAAAGCAGCCTACGCCGTCAGGAACCACTGCCCCACTCCAGGGCCATGAGAGCTGCCAGAGGCCCAGAGACAGGAGTGGATCCCATCGGTGGGACCCTTCGGCACGAGCAGCTGATACACAGAGCTGTTGCTAAGGGTCTCAAGTGCCCCCAAGTATGAGGATCCCACCAGGGGGTGCAGCGTGCTGGGCAGTGGGACCAGTGGGACTGCAGCAGCGGTCAGCAGGTGACATTGCTGAGCTCTTGTCTGTGCACAGGCCTGAGGGGCCTCCCAGGGGCTGGGTGCCTTCCTCCATGCCAAGCAGACACCCAAAGCAAATGTCAGTGCTAGGAGAAGGAGGAAAAGGGAAGAGTGGAGACGGCAGGCTAGTCAGAGGTGCAAGCACCAGCGTGAGGCTGCTCGGCACAGGCATAGTACCCTCTTCTGCTCCTCTGTACCCCCGAGGCTGCGTACCGCTCCTGCTGCACCAGGGTGCAAGCCAAGGTAGAAGGAGCAGCGCAGACAGAAGCGGGGCTCCCGCCCAGCCCTCCCACTCCCCGATGGCTGGCAGAGGGAAGTCCCTGGAAGAGTGTGTTTTTGAGCAGTGCTGTAAACCCACGTGCTATGAAGCCCATAAAGTGCCCCAAGCGCAGGGAGCAAGAGGGGGCCCAGGAAACAGGGTCCCCGCCCCTCAACTAGGGAGACTTCTTACTTGTTACAGCAGGCTCTGTGTAAATTTTTGTTTGGAAGATTTTTTTTAAAAAAAGGAAAACTTTCAAAACCACTAGTCTGGGTTTTTTAAATTTTTCTTGCCGTGGCCGGTTTGGCTCAGCAGTTCGAGCGTCAGCCTGTGGTCCAGAGAGACCTGGGTTTGGTTCCCGCTAAGGGCACGTACCTTGGTTGCAGTTTGTGTCCGGCCCTGGTTGGGTCATGCGGGTGGCAACCACTCGATGTGTCTCTTTCACGTCGATGTTTCTCTCTTTCTCCCTCCCACTCTGTCTGAACAAAAAATGGAAAAATGTCCTTGGATGAGGATAAAAAAAAAAGAACCAAGGTGGACATCCAGTGGGAGAGCCTGTCAGGCTACCACATCATGGACCAGGGGAACCTGTGAGCTGAGAGGACAGGAGGGGGGCCACTCCACTGATCCCAGACCCCCCGCTGGTGGTCCAGCACTGATCAGGAGCTGTGTCTGCAGGTTCCAAGGCCTTGACGCTCCAAAAAGGCCAAGGAAGCCAGGGCAGACGTGGCATCTGAGAGAAACTCATTAGAAAACAGAAAACAAGGTCACTGTCTCATTTGTATGTTCAGACAGGAGCGTGGGGCGTCCCTGCGCGTTCTCCAGCACGCTTGCAGATATGAAAACAGGAGTTGCTATGGAATACAAATATTTAGGACACATCCTTTATTCATTCAGTATACATGCTTTGAGGGCTTCTTCCACGGCAAGTTCTGTGCCATCCACGGAGGATTCCAAGATGGGTGTGATAGCGTGCCCGCCTTCGGGGAGCTCATCGTAGGGACCTGAGCCAGGCACAAGTGAGCCTGCGCCACACCGTGTCAGCTGGGAGCTCATCGTGAGCTGGTCCAGGGAGGGAGAGTCGTCAGTGGGCTGGGAGCAGATAGGGGAGAGCCTTTCAGGCAGAGGGCACAACCTGAGAACAGGCAGAGAAGAGAAGGGCCTATGGGTGTCTGGGGGCCCAGGGGTCCACAGACCTGACTTTATTGTGCAGTATGGGGGCAGGGAGAAAGAAGCCACTGAACAGATGGCTTCCCGTGCCACACCAAGGAGCATGGCGCTTGTCTCGTAAGGAGGCGCTATCTAAGGTTTCTTGAGTAGGTAGGGGTGTTATCTGTTCCCAAAAGGTTAAGTCAGCTGGCAGGTGGACAGGCTAGTAGGGAAAGGCAGGAGGCAGGAAAACCCACGGCAAAGGGAGATGGGAGGACTTGGAAGGGGGACATGTCAAAAGAGTAGAAATGATTAATAGAAATATCAGGTTGGATATGAGAAGACTGAGAGGAGCATAGAAATGGCACATTTGCGCTATTAGGCAAAGCGTGAGACCTGTGGGCTCCAGAAAAGTGCCACCAACGCAGGGCTTTCCAAGTTCACAGGATCAATCAGTTGCCTGCTCTCTCCACAAGGTCATATTCTAAAGATGTCAACTCAGGAAAGGCCAGTAGGGAGTGCTAAAGGCATGCTTTCCCTTCCTGCCAACAAGGGTGTTCGATGTGCCTGTCAGTTCCCGTCTGTGGCTCGCGGGCATCCATCTCCACGAAAGGCACACCTGGACAGTTTGGTCCCTTTATGAAGTTTTGTTTGTTTGTTGTTGTTGTTGTTTTTAACTTGTTTTTCTTTATTGATTTTAGAGAGAGAGGAAGGGGGAGAGAGAGAGAAACATTAATGAGAAAGAACATCGATTGGCCGCCTCCTGCATGGCCCCCTCTGGGGATGGGGCCCACAACCTGGGCATGTGCCCTGACTGGGAATCGAACCAGCGACCTCTCAGTGCATGGGTCGATGCTCAACCACTGAGCCACACGGGCCAGGCTGAAGAAGTTTTTTTATATAAACAGACTTCACATGCCCAGGTCGAAGTTCAACCACTGAGTCACACTGGCCAGGCTTGTGTTCACATTTTAAATTCATGAAGCTACCCTAAGCATATCATACCTTGTTCCATTGAACCTCATAGATATTATGGTTTTTTTTTACAAATTGAAGGTTTGTGGCAACCCTGCATCAAGTAAGTCTATCAGTGCCATTTTTCAAACAGTTCAGATGATGGTTAGCATTTTTGAACAGTAAGGTATTTTTTATTTAAGGTCTGTACATTGTTTTTAGACATAATGCTATTATATACTTAATAGACTAGTGTCAAGTAAAAATAACTTTTACATGTACTAGGAAGCCAGAAAACTCATGTGACCTGGGTTGTGTTATTCGCTTGATTGTGGTGGTCATAATATCTCCCTGAGGTATGCCTGCCTGTGCATGGACTTCAGCGTGGCCTCTGGACTCCTCAGAACATGAACTACCCAGACAGTACTCTTTAAGGAGCCCAGCCAACCTTTGAAGTTATGATTACTCCCGTTATTATTGTCATCAGGTATTTAGTGGCTCAATTCCTGCTTGCTCCCTCTTGACTCGGGCCTGAAACACTCTTCCCTGTCCGCTGCCACATGGGGTGAGTGCCCTCTTCACATGGGGTGAGTGCCCTCTTCACATGGGGTGAGTGCCCTCTTCACAGGGGGTGAGTGCCCTCTTCACAGGGGGTGAGTGCCCCTCTTCACACTGGGGTGAGTGCCCTCTTCACAGGGGGTGAGTGCTGCCCCTCTTCACAGGGGGTGAGTGCTCTCTACACAGGGGGTGAGTGCTCTCTTCACTCTGGGGTGAGTGCCCTCTTCACACCGGGGTGAGTGCCCCTCTTCACACGGGATGAGTGCTCTCTTCACAGGGGGTGAGTGACCCTCTTCACACTGGGGTGAGCGCCTCCCTTCACACTGGGGTGAGTGCCCCCCTTCACACTGGGGTGAGTGCCCCCCTTCACACTGGGGTGAGCGCCCCTCTTCACATGGGGTGAGTGCTCTCTTCACACCGGGGTGAGTGCCCCTCTTCACACTGGGGTGAGCGCCCCCCTTCACACTGGGGTGAGTGCCCCCCTTCACACTGGGGTGAGCGCCCCCCTTCACACTGGGGTGAGCGCCCCTCTTCACATGGGGTGAGTGCTCTCTTCACACTGGGGTGAGTGCCCCTCTTCACACGGGGTGAGCGGCCCTCTTCACATGGGGGTGAGCGCCCCTCTTCACCCAGGGTGAGCGCACCTCTTCACACTTCACACGGGGTGAGTGCCCCTTTTCACACTGGGGTGAGTGCCCCCCTTCACACTGGGGTGAGTGCCCCCCTTCACACGGGGTGAGTGCCCCCCTTCACACTGGGGTGAATGCCCTCTTCACACGGGGTGAGTGCCCCCCTTCACACTAGGGTGAGCGCCCCCCTTCACACGGGGTGAGCACCCCCCTTCACATGGGGTGAGCGCCCCCTTCACAGTGGAGTGAGCGCCCCCCTTCACACTGGGGTGAGTGCTCCTCTTCACAGTGGGGTGAGTGCTCCTCTTCACACGGGGTGAGCGCCCCTCTTCACGCGGTCCTGGAGGTCCATTAGGTGACCAACCTCACGGAGGTGTCCAAGGCTGATAGTGGGATCGGAAACGGGCATTCACACCAACAGGTGCCAGGAGCCAGAGTCCCCCAGGGCTGTGGGGTGGGGGTGGGGGGACCAGGGCAGGGTCCACCTGGGGCCATTACAGTAGCAGAGGGGAGATGCTGAGAGCTGGTTCCGAATCGCAGTGGACACAAGATTCAGTTCAGACACAAAATCCACAGGACTCAGTGACCAAATGGGTGGAGATGACCAAGAAGCACCTAAAGCGTCTGTGGGGAGGACCGGGGAAATGGTACTCTCAGCCTCTGGATTGTATTCTGGCCACGATTACTGTGCTGCGGAGCGAGGCCGGAGGGTGAGACTGGGCAGCGCCGGCCACGAGGAGTGGGAGGAGCCTCGAGTGGGCCAGTTGCCCAGGAGCTCAGGCGGCTCTCCTGAGACTCCTTTCTGTCCGGTCTCCCCGCCCAACCTTTACCCCTAATTTATAATGTCCTCATTAGTAATAACCCCATCTTATTCAACTTGGTATCCACTGAATTAGTTATTCATTTGCTTATCCATTCCACAAATATTCACAGAGCACCTCTTCTAGGAAAGGCAGAGTCCAAGGTCTTAGAACCCAATAAACACACATTTAATTGATCATGTCATGATAGGAAGTCGGCATGGAGAAGTTTCGGGGGGAGGAACCTGGCAGAGTCCTACTGGAGAGCATCTGGAAAGGAAACGTGGGAGATTCATCCCCCAGGCCTGGGTAGGTTAACAGGCTAAAAGACCACATGGAGAAAAGCTGCTGACTTGATACAAAAACAGACACAGAGCCTAGCCTGAGAACAAGGGTTAGCAATGATGGGCACTTCATCCAAGAGGGAGGGAAAAGGAATAATAAAATTAAGTGATGCACTGAAAATCTGAGGTATATTTGACATGCTTAGATAAAGAGGCTCTGGAGGGAAGGATATGATGGGGTGTTCCCTGTTGGGCTCCCAGACACGTCCCCATACCCGAGCAGTGCTTGTCAGGACTAGGTGAGAACAGTGCTTGGGATCATCCTGCTCCCTGGACTAGGACCCCACACACCGCTCTGGAGACCTGTCCCAAGTGGAAGCACAGCTCGTTCCTGGTACAAGTCTATCTGTGTAGGTTTGGCCTGCATTTGCCTTTTTCGGTAGTCAGACCCTGATGGCCTGGCTCACAGACCAGCCCCGCCCCCCCAGCACTGGTTAGAAAGGCAGAATCTCAGGGCCACCTCCAGAGCCCCCGAGTCAGAAGCTGCATTTGACAGGATCCTCCGGCGGTTCCTTTGCACAATCATATGGAGGCGCTGCTGTAGACAAGCCGAGTACAGAGGCTGTGAACTCTGAGAGCAAAGTGGCCAGTGCCTCTCGGGGCCTGTGGCGAGGGGAACACCTCCCCAGAGCCACCTTGGTGCCTGCGCTGAGCATGAAAGGGAAGGCAGTGATTTGAGGTGTGGGAAGGGAAGAGTGTTCCCAAGGTGCAGAGCACCCCCAGCCTGGCACCCAGCAGGCTCTTTGTCCTCACTCCTCTCCTCTCCCCTCTCTCACTTGGCGTTCTAGGGACACAGAACTACTTCTCGGCACCCACACCTGCTGTGTCATACTTCTGTGCCTTTCTCCTGCTCTTCCAGTTGTCCGGGATCCCCTTACCTTTTCCTTGGCAACTCCTTTAAGCCTCAGCCCAACGGCCATTCCTAGGAGTCCACCCTGGTCACTCCGGCAGCACTAACGCTTCCTCCGTGCCCCATCCTGCATCACAGCAAGGCAGCCGCCACGCTGAGCTGTGCCCAGGTCCCCACCAAGCCCTCCACTCCTCAAGAGCAGAAGCCAGGCCTCGTTTCTGTGTACCTCAGGGTCAGCACAGTGCCTGGCACAGTGCTCAATACATATTGGATGGGTGATGCCTGAAAGAAGGGAGGGAGGGAAGGAGGGATGGAGGGATGGATGGATGGAGGGAGGGATGGAGGGATGGAAGGACGGATGATGGATGGATATTGTCAAACATGAGAGGAGTGAACTTCCAATGGATGTCGCAAATATTAGTTATCCACTTACTTTTCTGTGTTCCTCACTAAACAGTGTGCTGTTGGGGGCAGAAACCATAACTTTTTCTCTGTCTGCATCTCAGGGACATGGCAGACACCCTATACATGTAGGTTCGACAATCAGTGGATAAAGTATAACACAGTACTTAAGAGCTCAGAGCCCTGGAGCAAGACTATCAGGGTCAGAATCCCGGCTCTGTCACTTGCTATCTATGTAGTTTGGTCAGATTACATAACCTCTCTGTGCCTCAATTTCCTCTTTTGTAAAATTGTGATTATAACAGAATCTACTCATAACGTTACTATGCTTCTTCAATGCACTAAATTCATATGGAGTTCTTAGAAAAGCGTTGCTGTTGCTGTTAGAAAGAGCCTGGCTGGCTGGAGGATAGTGTGCTCTGTCTGTATCTTATGTCTCCGGAGTCCCCCTGAAGGTAAGTGAGCTGTTTCCTCGAGGACGGGAGAATGAATCTGCGTCCAGGACCAACCCCACCCATTCCCCACACCCTCGCCCCCTGGCCAGGGCAGGCCCTGCGCCCACCGATCACACATCCGTCCAGTCTCTTTTCCTCCTTCTCTGTAGGAAAATGTCTCCCTCATCAAGGAGATCAATGAGCTCCGCAGGGAGCTGAAGCTCACCCGCTCCCAAGTCTATGACCTTGAAGCAGCTCTGAAACTGGCCAAGAAAAGCCAACTGCAAGAGGTTCCAGAAACAGGTACTGTCCCCAGGGGCTACAGGAGACAGGCGCTGGGACAAAGGGACCATGGCCGCCATGAGCAGGCCTCTCTGGCTTCCGAGGCTGCCTCTCCCAAGTGTCCTCCTATGTCAGGTCACATTCACCTGCGGTCTCTGGGGGCCTTCCCATGCCACACGCCCGCTGTCTCGAGGACCTGCGAAGACCCTATCGCATCCAAATAGATGCAGGTCCCAAGTCCTTGGGGTTGGTAGGGTGTCAGAACTGAGACCCTTTCAGATCTTACAGCAGCAACTTGCAACCTTTTTCATCTCACGGCACACAGGAACTAAACACGAGATTCTGCGGCATGTCAAAAAATATATATGTTTTTACCGATCTGACAAAAAGATAGGTATAATTTTGATTTAGTCACACCAGACAGCTATTGTGTTGGCTGTTGTCATTTTTTTGTTTTTTATTTGACAATTTAAGGGAAAGGAGATTAGTGACCCTGGCTAAAGAGTCGGGTATTGCATGTTTTAAAAATTCTTGCAGCACACCAGTCGAAAATCGCAGTCTTAGAGTGTACTGTATGCGGTATATTATGAGGCAGCCCTAGATGAATATTGCTGTATGAATGTTCACACTAAACTTCAGAATTTAAAAGTGTTTTTTAATTTGTAGAGCTTTTTGTCTTTTAGAACCATGGATAAGAGATTGTAGACAATTGATGTACAGTTAATTGATGTACAATTAAAGACCAAAAAAAAATCAGAAACTATTTAAAGGGAGAGAGGGAAAATGATATTAGAAAGTGCAAATTAGTTATGACTGCAATTCTATCCTAAGTTCCTCTGAATTTTTGATAGCCAAGGTGAAAAAGGAAACAAAGAAATGTGATTATTTACATAGTTTTCATTTATGGAAAAAGGAAGTTTCTTTTTCTGGAGAAACAAACCTTTCCCTGGCACTAAATTCCATGCAAAACTTATCACATGGATGCTTCTGAAAGGGAGGTTGAATGACATAATGAATAATCTGTAACTGGTAGTTTTCAGACAATAAAAAACTCATTTTCCAGGGGTCCATTTCTTATCTGGACAGTCAATGAAAACCAAGAGTGCAAGGCCTTTCTGTGGGAAATTAAGCCGACGTCGTTGGAGCGCATTGTTTCCTGGTGGTTTACATTCAGGAATAAAGCCTGGGAGCCTTGGTGAAACACCCCATGGACCGGGTCTTTCAAGTATCAGCTCTCACTCACTGTGGGCAGTGAGATACTCTCATTGGAGGAAGGTGGCGGAAGAATACAAGGAACTCTCTGCACTATTTTCATAAGTTCTGGCGAGTCTTGAACTTTAAATACATATAAAATTGTGCCGTGTCCTTGGAGTTCAGGAGGATTTGACAGGCGGCAGACCCTCTGCAGGCAGTGGCAGTGTCAGGGCTGAAGGTGGACGCGAGGGCACCGCACGTGTCATAAAGCCCGAGACGCGTGACTTCTCGGGGTGGAACGCCTGCAGCTGGAGCTGAAGCACAGATGTGCCCAGAACAATTGCAAAACTTCTCTTTACAAAATACTTCGAATATGCCCTGGTATCCTGGAAGATAATTAGTTGAGACCTCCTCAGGATGACGTAGGACTTATCTAGGTTCTTCGTATTACAATCATGGAAATTTTCAGACATATTCAGAAATTAAGAGAAAAGTCTAATGAGTCCATCCCCCAGTTTCAACAAGTATCAGTTTTTGTCACTGCTGCTTCATCAGTACCCCTGGCTTACCCTCCAGTCGCCCCACCATGGGTAACTTTTAAACAAATCAAACATCATATCACTCATGTGATATAGTTTTCTCATAGGAGATATGTATTGTTCCTAATAGTTGAAGACATATATTACTAATGGTCTTCCTTGATCATAAAGAACCTAAATCAGACCTCTGATTTTGAACATGGACCCACCAAGGCACAGTAGCTCAAAATATACATCCTCAAGTTGTTTAAGGAATTGGCCAATTCGGTTGCTTTTTAAGAATTCTTTATCTAAACAGGAGAGGTTGCCATCCCCAAATCACCATTTTAGTTTTAACAGCATTTATTATTAAGTTTTCATTCACATAATTAACTAACAGGTCTGATAGATACACCTGCTTGTTTTCAATTATTAAAACCATATCATTAGAACTTCTAATTAAAGATGGATAATTGAAAACCTACTAAAATAGCATAAACAAACCATAAGATCTAAGAAAACCCAAAAGGAAACAAGAGACACAAAATTTTGAAAGCTGGAAAATTGATACATGAGTGGCAACTCACTTCATGGGCACAAGAAACTTGACTCCTAAGCCAGTGCTGAGAAAACTAGAGGAAACCTAGTGTACATCACAGAACCCTCAAAAGGCTCAGGAATTAGCAGAAGCAGACATCTCTGGAATTGGGAGTAAAGATGAGGCTGAAAACCAAAGTAAAATTTTAAGAAGCTATTTGATCCACCTAGAATCTAACACAATGGTTAAAAATAGACCCTCAGCCTGGCTGGTGTGGCTCACTGGTTGAGAGTTGACCCATGCACCAAGAGGTCACTGGTTTGATTCCTGGTCAGGGCACATGCCCAGGTTGTGGGCCCGATCCCCGGTGGGGGGCATGCAGGAGGTGGCCAATTGATGTTTTCTCTCACCGATGTTTCTATCTCTCTCTTCCTTCCTCTCTCTCTAAAATCAATAAAGAAAAAATATTTTTTTAAAAACAGACCCTCACAGGGCCATCATCATGAAATTTTAGACCAGAGTACAAAGAAAAAAAATCCTCTAGACTTCCAAAGAGGGTAGGTGGAGATTTCATGCAAAAGATCAAAATTTCCAATTGCAAAATACAAAATCAACACACAAAAATCAGCTGTATTTCTGTATGCTAACAAGAAGAATCTGAAAAGGAAATTAAGAAAACAATTCCATTTATAATAGCATCAAAAAGAATAAAATACTTAGGAATAAACTTAACCAAGACTTAGGAATACACTTAACCAAGAAGGCAAATGACATTTACATTGGAAAGTAAAAAATATTGCTGAAAGAAATTAAAGAAGACACCAATAAGTGGAAAACATATCATGATTATGAGTTGGAAAACTTGGTATTGTTAATATGTCGGTACTAACCAAAGCAATCTACTGATTTAATGCAATACCTATCAAAAGCTTAGTAATTTTTTTTTTTCAGAAATAGAAAATTCATTCTGAAATTCATATGGAATCTCAAGTTACCCCAAATAGCCAAAAACAATCTTGAAAAAGGAGAACAAAGTTGGAGGTCTCACACTCACACTGATTTTCAAAACATATGCAAAGCTATAATGATCAGAATAGTGTGATATTAGCATAAAAACAGACATGCAGATCAATGGAATAGAATAAAGAGCCCAGAAGTAAATCCTCACATATATAATCAAATTATTTTCAACATGGATGCCAAGGCTGTTCACTGGGAAAAAGACAGTGTTTTCAACAAATGCTGCTGGGAAACAGGATATCCACATGCAAAAGAACTAATTTGGACCTTTACTTTATATCATATACAAAAATGAACTCAATATAAATCAAAGACCTAAACATAAGAGCTGAAACTATAAAACCTGTAGATGAAAATATAGGGGGAAAGCTTTATGACATTGGATTTAGCAGTGATTTATTAGGTATAACATGAAAAACACAGGTAACAAAAGGAAAAATAGATCAATCAAACTCCATCAAAATTTAAAACTTTTTTGACTTAAAGAACAAGAGTGAAAAGGCAACATACCAAATAGGAGAAAAATATTTACAAGCCATATATCTGATGAAGGATTGAGACCCAGAATATATAAAGAACTTCCACAACTCAACAACAACAAAGATTAAAAATAGACAAAGGACTTGAATAGACATTTCTCTAAAGAAGCTATATACAAATGGCGAACAAGCACATGAAAAGATGCTTAACTGATTACAGAAAGGCAAATCAAAACTACAGAGCGATACCACCTCACACCCATTAGGAGGGCTACTATCAAAATAAACGAAACAAAAACAAAAGAAAGAAAATAGCAAGTATTGGCAAGGATCTGGAGAAACTGGAAACCTCATGTACTATGTTAAACTGGCAAAGCTACTGTGGAAAACTGTTTGGCAGTTCCTCAAAAAATTAAAAATAGAATTACCATTTGAAAAAGAAATTACCCTTCTGAATATATACCCCAAAGAATTAAAAGCAGAGTCTCAAAGAGATAATTTGTACATTCACGTTCAGAACAGTGTTATTCACAGTCGCCAAAGGTAGAAGCAGCCCAGGTGTTCATCATAGATGAATGGATAAACAAAATGTGGTACATACATACAAGAGTTATTATTCAGTCTTAGAAAGAAAGGGAATTTTGACATATACGACATGGATGAATCTTGAGGACACCATGCTGTGAAATATGCCAGTAACAGAAAGACAAACACTGTATGATTCCCCTTATCTGAGGTGCCTCTATCATAGTCAAATTCATAAAGACAGAAAGTAGCACTGTGGCTGCCAGGGTTGGGGGAAGTGGAAGATGGGGGTGGGGGGGGTGTTATTGTTCAATGAACACAGAGTTTCAGTTTTGCAAGATAAGAAGAGTTCTGGAGATTGGTTGCAGAACAATGTGAGTATATTAACACCGCTAAACTGTACCCTTAAAAATGGTTAAGATGATCAATTTTATGCTATATATATTTCGCTACAACTTTTTTTAAAAGAGTCAGCGAGAGGAGTAGGAGATTGACGTTTGGAAATGCTGCTGTGGAGGATGAGAGAGTGAGCAGACTATGAACATAAAGTCTGTTTGGGGTTGGAAACCAGGAATTTGAATCTCACATGTTGCTTCTCGGTGGCACACATCAAGCCAGGTGTGCACGTGCAGACACTGGGCGGCCAGCCACCTGGTCTGGGCTTGCGGGGCGCAGGCGCGGAGGGGTACGGCGTCTGGAGCACGCAGGGCGCAGGACGTGGCGCAAGAAACTCGCTGTGTGTCTAACTGGGCAGAAAAGGGGGTGAGCGTGAAAGGGTCCCATTTGGTAGCTTGGAAATGGAGTAGTCCAGGAAAAGAGGTCCAAACTCAGTCAAAGAACAGGTGCCTTGAGCACAAGGCAGTAAGAGAGGTTATGGAGGGAGAACGGAGTCCTCGTGTGTGATGAGGGAGGGGAAGCCCCAGGCGCAGCTGCTGACAAGGCGTGGACGCCGAGGACGTTCTCCAGCCCTGTGAGCCCTGGACCCTGGTGGACACCAGCGTTTTCCAGGAGGGTGGCGCATCCATGGATGATGGGGGGGGGGGGTGTCACAGGAAAGTCCTCAAGGAACATGAATGAGTGGCCACATCAGGAGGGGTAGAGAGGGGTCTGTCTCAGGGGTTTTACCTGGGGAGGAGGACTAGCAGTTTGGAAGCCAACCAAAGTCAACAGAGAGAGCCACCCTGCTTGGGACGTGGGGAATGGGAGAAGGAGGGGACAGACCTCAAGGCCAGCAGACTGGGGGCTCAGGAGAGAGGCTCCGCTGAGGTCATGCTCAGCAGTTGCCTACCCCTTTAAGTGTTCACTTCTCCACCCTGTAGCCCTGGCACCTGGGACTGTGTGAGGAGGCAGGGAGGGCGAGCTGGCTTTTAAGAAGCTCTGCGGCAGTCCGGTGTCAGGCCCACATTCGTCCTGCTCTGTCCCTTACAGGGCCCAGTGAGGACACGGCCGGCACCACTCCTGCCAAGAGACTAAATGAGCAAGAAGAAATTGGGAGAATTATTGAAATGCAACGCTTAGAAATCCAGCATCTCAGGGACCAGATCCAAGAACAACAGCAGGTCCCAGGGTTCCAACCCATCTCCAGAATTCGGCTTCCTTCCCTCGTCAAGTTAGAAGTGAACCCTGAGGTGCAGGACAACTGACCCCTCCGGTGAGCCACCTCCAGCCACACTACAAGGGGCACTTGCATCTGTCCCCAGGCCGACTCGGGGCTGCGTCCCTGTGTGCTGCCACACCAGCTTTTCTTCTGCCCCAGGGCATTTGGGGCTTGGTCAGAATAAAGGCGTTTGCCTACAACTGTGTCCATCTCGCTGCTTAGCCAGGGAGCTGAGGAAGGAGGGAGGGAAATGGGACCCTCAGGACTTGGGGGGATGGCTCTAGCTCACCCAAAGCCACCACTGCCTGTCCCTGTGGAAATTACACCGAACTTGGAGCTGGCTTCCTGCCACCCCCGATGCTCTCTGGGCCTCACGGGTGGGCTGCCTGCTGCCACTTCAGTATCACTGCCTGCTCTTCTGACCTGGCGTCTTCCCCCCCAGCCACGACAGGGCCCGACAATGCCTCCTTCATTTGTTCTCCTTCGTGAAACCCGTGAGGTTTTCTGGCGATTTTTACGTTTGTGTAATGATCAGAGTAAAAGCGTGAACAAGGCAAAGTTCCCTCGAGCCGACCCTGTTGTGGAAGCTCTAAGCAGACCTCTGCCCTGTGCCTCTCTCAGCTCCTCGCCGAGTCATCCTGTTCGCTGGGCCTGCCCACTCTTCCACTCCCGGGGGGGCGGGGGGGCACCTCTTCCTCTGGACTCAAACTAGGTGACCCAGCCACACACACCAGCAAAGGTAGTTACTATGCACTAAAGAGCAAAGCAATATACCCAGATGGCCCAGGCGTCCCCCACCTGCAGGGGCCAGGCACCCTCCTAATACCGAAATAACAAATATTTCAGCCCCCAGTCCCTGCTGGGCTGTCTTAAACCTGGCATCCCCAAGGCATCTCCAGTTCCCCCAGTCTTCTCTGGACACTGCCCTTGGGTTAGTTTCCCCAGTGAGAACTGAGACATAGCTGCGACATATCACATGTGGCAGGTCTCTCCTGAGGGCTGGGGATGGCAGAAGGAAGGCGCAGGGCAGAGGCCACAAGCGAAGTGTACATGGGACTCTCTCGCCATAGCAATTTCCCACCCCACCCCCAGCCCACACCCTGTCACCGTAGCCAGCTTATCTGCTCCCAGCCATGCACCCCAGCATGTTCTCTGCTGGGACACCAGGCCTAGGGAGAAGGTAAGCATTCAGGCACCCCTGGGAGATTCACCCACCAGGACCACAGCCATGCTGGGTAGATGGGCTCTTCTGGGAGTCAGACGTCATTCCAAACCAGCACCTCAGCTTTACCTTTGCAGAGGACGCTGACTCGGAGTGAGCGGGGAGGGCAGCAGGGCCAGGTGGTGCAGGGCATGAAGGCAACACAGCAGCCGTGCGGAGCCACTGACGGTCACTCCCCACCCTTTCCCCAGCTCCTGGCTCGCTGGCCTCCTTTCAGTTCCGATAAAAGGCCAAGTTCTGGCCCCAGCTGCTGTGGCTCCGTGGATTGAGCGTCGCCCCATGGATTGAGAGGTCCTGGTTTGATTCCCAGGCACATGCCCTGGTTATGGGCTTGATCCCCTCTAGGGGGCGTGCAGGAGGGAGCTGATAAATGTTTCCCTCTCACATGGATGTTTCTCTCTCTCTCTCTCCCTTCCTGTCTCTCTAAAACATTAATAAAAACATATTTAAAAAAAAAAAGCCAAGTTCTTTCCTGCCTCCAGGTCTGTCCGCATGCTGTGTGTCTGTCTGAAATGCTCTTGTCCCCTCACCTCACTCGGTGAACTTCTACTCATCCTTCACGTGATAACTCTGAAATGTCACTTCCTCAGAAAGACAGTCCCTGAGCCCTCCCTCTCCCATTTGATTACACTCGCCAGCCCTGGCCAGTTTGGCTCAATGGTTAGAGCATCGACCCACGGACCAAAGAGTCGCGGGTTCGATTCTGGTCAGAGGCATGTACCTCAGTTACAGTTTGTTCCCAGCCCTGGTCTGCGCGCGTGCACGCTCTCTCTCTCTCTCTCCCCCCCACCCTATCGGAAAATAAATGGATAAATATCCTCTGGTGAGAATTTTAAAAAAAGAAACTGTACTCGCCATATTGTTTCCATATTGTTTCCTTGCACAGCCCTCGGTGACGTGTCCCTTCAGTATCTGAGCTGCCTCTCCAGGCTCTCAGCTCCTTGGAGGCAAGGCTGTGTCCGATTTTAAAGTTCACTGGGGTCTCTGGGTGGATCAGTGATTGAGGGACCCAGTAATGGAGGCAGGGGGACCAGTTGGGAGGACACTGGCTGAACACACGTGAGAAGACAGCTAGATGAGGAGAAATGAATGCCGCCTTTAGGGCTGGAGGGAGTTGTCTAAGCAAAGAGGGAGGGAAAAGGACCCAGTAAGAAGGAAGATGCTGAGAAAACAGGGGCTGGTCTCAGGGCCAGAAGGAAATTGATTTGCATGGCTACAATGCAGCAACACTCAAATGACATACTTTTCAACTTAAAAACACCTTAGAATCATGACATCACATTTCACCTACAAGATGGGCATTAGGTTACAGATGAGAAAAACAAGACCAAGGAGGAGTGGTCAGTAGCCCAGCGTCACACCAGCAGAGCCCGGATTGCAGGCCACCTGCCCAGTGGCCTCCACATCCTATGATCTTAAACCTGCGCTGGAGAGGCACCAAACAGAGCCAGGTGGCGGCAGTTTTAGGAGTGTAACATCTGGAGAGAGTAAACCAGAAGTAAAACGAACTGACACCTGCCAGCTCAGCTCACCCAGGTCAGAGGCTGGCCGCGGTCCAGCTGGTGAGAAGGAAGTGGAGGACTCAGCCCGGCCAAGGAGAGCCCTACCCGCAGAGCCGGGCCCTGTGGCCAGCAGGTCAGCAGGGTGTTTTCTCAGCTGCACAAGGGTGAGCACAGCGAATCTGGGGCCAGAGGAGAGTCTTGTTTACCTCTCCATGTTCTGTCTTGTGTGTTCCTACTTCAACCTGTTGGGTGGTATTGAATGAGTGGTTGCTGCACCGGAGACCTCCTTCCACTTTGCCAAAGCTGACCCCACGGGGAGGGCCTCACCTCATGGTGCCACCTCCTCCTTCACAGGGTCCCTTCAGCCAGGTGACACCTCACTGATGGAGTCGCCTCCTCCTGCAGCAGCCTTATGCACCTTGCTGGTCACTCAAGCGGCCAGGCATATGGACTCCACTCTTATTCTTCTGGCTTCAGTCCATCACTGAGCTCTGGGGACTCGTTCAATTCTGGTGTGACGGCTGGTGCCTTTGGGGGCTGCCCTCTTCCTGGGCCCCAGACATCCACGGGCCCCCTGCCCTTCTTCTAGAGTCAGCACCAGCTGTGGCCAGATGGTGTGAGCTCCCGGCTGAGCCTCCTCGGCCAGCCTGTTCTCCCAGCACCAAAGACCCTGCTCCGGGGAGGTTCTGTCATCAGCGTCTACCTTTCCCCCCACAGAGCCTGGCCACTCCTTCCCTGGAGGCCTGGGAACATTGCATGCCCAGGTAGGACCCCCTTCCATTCATTGCTCTGGATTTGGACTGAGAGGTGAGAGAGAAGGCATGTCAGGACCGGGAGTGGGGAAAGGGAGGGAAAATCTCATGTGTTCTCTGCCCAGCTTTAGCCGGCGCAGCTGGACCAGGGGTCTGTCTGGAGCTGTCCCCTCCTTGGAACCAGGCGGATAAATAAATGTCAGACACGTGCAAGAGAAATACGCAGCCAGCAAGCCAGCCAGGCACCCTGCTCCCCTGCTCCTCAGAGGGGAGGGGACACCTTTGTAATGCTTTGCAAGGTGGCAAACCCACGTGATCTCCCCCCTGAGATCCAGCCTGCCTGACAGCAGCGAGCCTACCCTAGCTCTTCTGCGAGGGAACGAACCACCCAGAGCCGCACAGTCCTGTCCGGCGAGGGAGCCGAGAGCCATGTGTGGCGGTTGAGCATGTGAAACGTGGCTGGTCTGAACGGAGATGTACTCTGAGTATAAGACACAGCTCCTTTTCAAGAATTCATACAACACGAAAGACTGAAATAGCTCATTTAATCATTTGTATATTCAAATGAAAATATGTAGGTGTTCAATCAAAAGGTTAAGGTGGTCATGTCTATTTCTTTTCACTTTGTTAACGTGGCTCCTGGGAATTCTGACTGCCGTGTGTGGCTCGTGTTGTATTCCTTCCAGACAGCGCTGCTCCTGAGTCAGGACTGCCCCGGTCCCCACCTCCGAAGCTGAGAAGCACAGACAGGTCGAGCATAACTACTTTGCGAGCTGCTGATGGAAAGATAACCTTGATTTTGTTCTGGTCTCTTTCAGACACATTGTGGGGAGAGAGCAAGAGGCTACCAGGAGCTCGAGCCAGGAGATGGGCGACAGCCTACAGCACCTCCATCCAGTGGCCCCTTAGCCCATCCAGAGCACATGTGGTGTGCGGTGTCAGCTTTGCCGATTAGAAGCAGAGCCCTGACCATGTCCCAGTTATATTTCGGGACATGAGACCCAGGGCGTCACTGTGGCACTCAGGGCCCAGAGCAGCCTGAGCCACATTTGTCTTTCGGGCTTCATCTCACATGCTCCCTGCTCAGAACTCACACACCTGTCAGTTCACACTTCTGTTCATTCAACAAGCATTTGCTGATTACTTCCCATGTGCCAGGCACAGTGCTGGCTGCTGAAGTCACGATGGTTAGCAGAATAGGCATAAACCTGTACCCTTTGGGGACCACACGTCTAGTGGAGGGTGGCAGATGAGTAAATAAGGAAAATTACGGCACACGCGGTATGAGCAGTTGTGGGAGAAGCACAGGGACCCCGAGTGCATCAAAGAGGCACCTAAACCAGCCTTGAGGTCAGGGAGGGCCTCCTAAAGGGTGTAACATTTCAGTTAAAGAATTCATGTTGGCCAGATGGAGGCTGGGGGTGGTAAATATCCCAGGCAGAGGGAAGGGGTCTGGGTTCAAGAAACAACCGCGCCCGGCCAGTGTGGCTCAGTGGTTGAGTGTCGACCCCTGCACCAAGAGGTCACCGGTTCGATTCCTGGTCAGGGCACACGCTCAGGTTCTGGGCCAAATCCCCAGTGGGGGTCATGCAGGAGGCAGCCAATCAATGTTCTCTCTTATCGATGTTTCTGTCTCTCTCTCCCTCTCCCATCCTCTCTCTCTAAAATCAATAAAGAAAAAAAATTTTTTCTTTAAGTAGCAACCAGAAGGGCAGAGCAGAGGGCAAAGCATGCAGAACCAAACGACATGCCTTCTGGCTGGAGGGCAGGGACCAGTGGCAATTGGCTGGCCTGGTGTGTGTGGCAGGGGCATGTGAACCCTGTGAAGGAGAGTGGCATTTATCTGGAAGTTTATTCTGCAAGTGTTTTAAGCAAGGGAGCTCCTGTTTCCCACAGGAAGTGCCTTTACCCACCCCCTCCCTGTGTGCTCAAATTCTGCCTCCGCCCGCAGGATCCAGAGGGTGGGGCAGGTCTGCCACCGGCAGGCACTGGAGGTTTTGGAGAATCAGCAAGGGGCTCTTGGGGGCCTCAGCCCAGGGGAAAGTGGCAAAGGATGGAGGAACTGGGGCTGGGTTTGGGGATCGGCTGTGGAGTTTGGGGCTGAGGCACAGTCTGAGTTTGGATTTCAGATCTGGGGATTGGATTCAGGAACAGGAGGCAACATGGGCACCTAAGATGAGAGTGAGTTCTAGGACCTAATTCCAGATTTTGGAGCTGGGATTAGGTGAGGAATTTGAGCTGAGGTTTCAAACTAGATTTGGGTTTGGGATTTGGAACTGGGAAGGGACTTGGATTTAGAAGTGAGGCTGGAGGTTGAGGTTGGGATTTGAGATTCAGTGCTAGGATGTAGGTAAGAGCGAATTGGAGCTGGGAGTTCTAGTCAGGGTTTGGAACAGCAGCTGGGCTAGAGCTGGAATGGGGCTGGAGCTGGGGGAAAGGGTTGGGGCCCAGGCGCTGGGGCGGATGGACAACATTTCTCCCGCTGCCCAGGTCTGGGAATTTGGTTCCAGCCCTGACTGCAGCTGATAGAAGCCCCTCCCTTCCCAGGAATGCCTCTGCAGAAGGAGTGCCACGTCAGCCAATCGGCTCAAGCCCTGACTAGGAAACACCTGTTGTTGATCGCCCTCCCGCCAGGGCTCCGCAGGGTGCAGGTTAGGTAGCCGAAGCACCTCCCCGGAAACAGAGTTGGAACGCTCCACCTGCCCTGCTCGGATTGGATCCAGCACTGCCAGGCTTCTCGTGAGTGCCCCTTAGCCCCCCTACCCCACGGCCTTCTCACCTTCTCCCACTGGCTCGTCACCTGAGCACCTCCTCCTCTCCCCTCGCCTGGCCCCGCTGTCCCAGCACACCTGTGCAAAAGCCCTTTCAGTCCAGTGAAGCCACCGCCTGGGCAATGTGGGGCTGACTCCATGGCCACTCCCACGGCCCTTCTCCACCTCCCTTGGGGCCTTTGCACCCGTGGCTCCTACCCAGTTGCCACGCTGCCCCTGCAGAGGGGTTGTGGAGGATAGACACCTCAGGGGTGTAACCATGTATACACATTCTTGGAATGATCCAGGACTGTGTCCTAGGTATAGAGCAGGAGTCCCTCCTGAATTGGAGGGGAGAACAAATGTGTTCTTTTACTCCAAAAGCATGCTTCGGGCATCTGTGCAGGCCCCAGAATTCCCACGTAAATTCTGAAATGGAGATATCAAATTACTTGCCCCCACCCCTCATGATAAACGTTATTGTCCTCCACGTTAAGATTAGGAGCCAGGGGCTCTAAGAGGTGAACTCATGGGGGCTTCCCTGACCCTCCTCCAAACCCTTCTTCTGACTGAACTACACCCAGCACTTATCGCGTGAACCATGGATGTACCTGCTGTAACCAGGGCTCCTTGAGGGCAGGGACTCTGGCTGCTTTATCGTGTCCGGCCCTGCTGACTGGCTTCCCCAGGACTTGCTGAATGAGTAACCACTATGAGGTCCCTCACCCCAGTTCCCACGGGTGGTACAGAGTGCAGCTGGGGTTCAAACCCAGAGCCCTCCTTTCCCTTTGCACAATGTTAGAAAAATCTTGGAGAACAGCATGGTGGGGGGAAGGAGGGGAGCTGGGGACAGGAAGCCCCATGAGGAGCTGGGGATGAGGGTGGGGAATGGGATGGAGAAATGTTCAGAGGAGGCCTCTCCAGCAGTGAGGAACACAGGAGGAGCAGGTTTGGGTAAGATGACGAGCTTGGGTTGGACCTGTTGCATCAGAGGTGACTGTAGGACTATGGGACATCAAGGTGATGGTTGGCTCCTGGGTCTGGAGGGAGCTCTGGGTTTGAGGGGCATGGGGTGATTTGGGAACCAGCAGCCATAGCTGTGAGATCGGATGGCATGTTAGGGGAAGGAGGGTGTTAGGGACCAGATCCTGGCCTGCAGAGAAGGAGCCACAGCCCTAAGGGAAGATTCAGGGTCAGGCTGCTGGTTCCAGAAGGGTTAAGTCATTGCCCCCTCCCTCCCCGCCACCCTCCCCCCAGGAGCCAGCGGTGACAGCTGAAGCCATGTGAGTTGGATCCTGAATGAGGCTTTATCTCTGGCTCTTCGTCATCATCCATCATCCACCGTGGCACCAGCTCCCTCGGCCAGTCGGGATGGGACAGGCAACTGAGAGAGCCAGAGAGGTCAGGGGCTGGGCAAGGGGGTTCCCTGGAGGGGTAGGGGTGCTTTATATGGGGAAACTCTCCTGGGGTCACTGGGGAGGAATTCCCAAGGGGCTGTGCTGGGGAGGAGGCTTCCCTGGGGGGTTATTCCAGAGGACATGGGAGGATTCCCAGGGATCATCCCCACGCCCCCAGGAGAGGCCATGGGGGCAGGTGGGCTGGGGAGGTAACAACTGTAATCTCCCCTGCAGATGATGGTGACTTCACCCTGGACTGTGAGAGGAACAGGACCCTGGGCTTCCAGCTGCCAAGCAGGTGGTGGGGACTCCGGGCTATGATCTACACCCTCTAACTGCTGGTGCTGCCCTCTGCCTGACTTTTGCCAGACCTTGCCAGACCTTGCCTGACCCAGCCATGTCTGAGGGAGAGGCTCGAGCCCCGTGGGGCCGGGGGCTGCCCCCGGATGTGCTGGCCGAGCAGGTGGAGCTGTGGTGGTCCCAGCAGCCGCGGCGCTCGACGTTCTGCTTTGCCGTGGCAGTGGGCCTTGTGGCTGGCTGTGGGGCAGGGGGTGTGGCACTGCTTGCCTCCACCAGCAGTCGCTCAGGCGAGTGGCGGCTGGCGGTGGGCACTGTGCTCTGCCTGCTGGCCCTGTTGGTTCTGATTAAGCAGCTGATGAGCTCAGCCGTGCAGGACATGAACTGCCTACGCCAGCCCCAACATGTGGCCCTGCTGCGCAGCGGTGGCGGTGCCGATGCCCTCGTGGTGTTGCTCAGTGGCCTCGTGCTGCTGGTCACTGGCCTGACGCTGGCTGGGCTGGCTGCTGCCCCTGCCCCTGCCCGGCCACTGGCCATGATGCTGTCTGTGGGCATCGCCCTGGCTGCCTCAGGCTCACTCTTGCTAGTGGGCTTGCTGCTGTATCAGGTGGGCGTGAGTGGACACTGCCCTTCCATCCGTGCAGTCACCCGCTCCGCCCACAGTGACCACAGTGACAATGGCAGCGTCTTCAGCATCTCAGGACGGCTCTCTGCTGGCCAGCGTCATGAGACCACATCCAGCATTGCCAGTCTCATCTGACCAAGCCAGAGCCCTTCCCACAGCCTGCCTCAGCCTCCACAGAACTGTGCCGCGGCGGGAGTGTGTGCGCGACTATGTGTGCACATGTTCCCAGGAATGCCCAGCCCTTCTGTGTGATGTGTGATGAGACCATGGGACAGTGAGTGTGTGTGTGTCTTCTTGGAACTGGGTGTTTTGTCCGTGGATCTGTCAGAGGCTTCCTGTCTGAATCTGGGGTCTCCAGGCAGAGAAGAGTCTGGGGTCCCCGGAAATTTTGGGCTCCTATTTCCAACACCTCTCCAAGCCAACCCTGCCCCCTAACACACGTCAGGGGTTTCCCCAGAAGTGACTGGTGCCCACCCTGAGACTGCACACGAGTCTTCATTGAGGAGCAACATTGGTGACGAAGAGAGTACAGGCTCCGGGATGTGACAGGCCTGGATTGGAACCCCCATCACTGCCACCACCACTTCCCAGCTGGGGACTTGGGCAAGTGACTTAAACTCTCTGAGCCTCAGTCTTTGAGAGTCGTGGTCATGCTCCTGGTCATCAGTTCTGAGGACCAAGTGACATGTATGGAAGGACTGGGCACGTCCCAGATGTGCAATAAAAGTGGTGGCTGCTGTTACTGCTACTGTCTTTGCAACCCCATCTTACCGAGACCCTTCCTTCCCCTTCCCAAGGGGACACTCTGTGCCTGTCTCAGACAGAAGCCTTGAAGGTGTCCTCAGCAAAGCCAGGGGAGCTGGGGGTTGGGGGTACTCAGCTTCGGGAAGGTAGTGGGTTTCTGGTCCCAGGGAGGGAAGGGGGTGCTGAGTCCTTGGCATTTGTTCATGTGCTAGTAGAAGATGAAGCCTAAAACATTGGGATTTTATCAGCTGATTACTCGGGGGGCTGCGGCCCCACCTCTGAGACCAGAACATCCGGGTTCCGGTCCGTGTCGGCGCTGCACTGGCTGGCCTGCTTCTGGATTCCTGGGCAGGGGAGGGCTGTTTGAAACCGCCTCGGGTGGGAAGAGTCACTTCCTGCTCCAGGTCCACCCTGGAAGGGATCTCCCCTTCTGAGGTGCAGAACTTCCTGGGTGCTCTGGGCAAAGCTCCCACCAGAAGAGTGCTCAGGGGCGGTTCGTCACTTCCGGCTGCACAAGGTGCAGGTACATGCAGCACAGAGAGGCGGGGACCAGGCGTGCTCCCAAGAGATGCTCAGTGCAGAGCTGCAGAGGCTCCGACAGGAGGCCGGTGCTCTCAGCGCCGAGATCGAGGCCGTCCCTGGAGAACACAGCTGATGGGGGAGGGAAGGGCGCTGCCAGCCCGGGGGCCAAGCCCCACAGCAGAAAGGACAGGGCGTGTCCAGGAGCACCAGGCACTCCCGAGGCACCGCAGCCGCCTCCACACATTCAAACTGGGACCCCTCCTCTCTTCAACTAGCTGCTCCATCTCACGTGCCAGGCTGGACTCCTCAGCCTGGTCCCGACGGCACCCTCGCTGTCTCCACCCTGTGTCCAGCACCCGCAGCTCCGCGGACTTGCTTTCCGATGTCCCTGTGGTAATGGTTCCTCCACACCACCGCCAGGCTCCTCTTCTCAGCCTGTCTGTGCAGCAGCCTCTGCACTGTCCTCCCGACTTTCTCCTCTGAACTCCACCTCCCCCACGAACCCAACACGCGCACGGACCCCAGTGACTGGGCTAAGACAAACGTGCAAATGTACCATAAGATCCTGCCGAGCCGCCACCTCTCGCAGGCCGACATGCAGACGTGAACTGATTGGGCCCCTCTCTCCCCTCACATCACCTTCTGAGCCAGACACAGAGCTACTGCTGTGACCTGACCCTGTTCTCTCGCTTCTCCCAGCCTCCGATGTTCTTTCCCCGCCTTCCTGTCCTTCAAGGCTCAGTTCTCCAGGGAGCCACGTTCTCTGGGAGTCTTCCCTGGCTGTCTCCCCCTAAACTAGAGAGTTGTCCCTTTTCTCGCCTCAAAGTCTAGATTGTAGACGCCAGCCTGCCATTCTCCCTCTGTGCACCTGTCTCCTTAACCAGGGCTGGGTCTTCTCACCTGTGTATTCCTAGGTCCCATGATGGGCCTGACACATGCTAGGTGCTTTGTTTTGTGGCTACGCGTGTGCAAGGGTCAGGGAGACACCCACCTACAACTAGGAAGGGTAGGGAAGTTAGGCCACTGTCCACTGTTGGCCCTGACTCTCCTGAGCCCCACCCTGCCTGCCCCAGAAATTCTCACTCTTCCTGGCTTCCCAAGAGGGAGCTATCATTGTCACCAACTGCTGGGCCATCGGAGGACCGCAGAACACCTCTCCATCCTGTAGTATGGGGAGAAATAATGTTTTTTTTTCAGCCTAGACAGGATTAGACTCTTCCATGATATTTCTTTTAAGAAAGTAGCCCTGGCCGGTTTGGCTCAGCAGTTAGAGCATCAGCCTGTGGTCTGGAGAGATCCAGGTTCGGTTCCCGCTAAGGGCACGTGCCTCGGTTGCAGTTTGTCCCCGGCCCTGGTTGGGTCGTGTGGGTGGCGACCACTCGATGTGTCCTTTTCATGTTGATGTTTCTCTCTCTCTCTCTCTCTCTCTCTCTCTCTCTCTCTCTCTCTCTCTCTCTCTCCCCCCCCCCCCGCCTCCCTCTCTATCTGAACAAAATATCAAAAAATGTCCTCGGGTGAGGATTAAAAAAAAATTAAAAAATAAAAATAAAAAAAGAAAGAAAAGGAGAATAGAAAACAGAGGCCTAGGAAATGGGGAAGGAGGAAGGTTCACATGGCACAAATGTCCAGAGCAGCTATTTCAGGCAAGGCCCCTGCCAGGCTCTCCTGGGAAGGATGCCCGATGAAGACTATGGTCCCTGCCCCCAGGGGCCATGCTTCAAAGGCAGTGGAGGTAGACAGTGCTCAGCCACCTGAGCATGAGTGGGAGGGTAGGAGCTGGGGCGAGGCAGGGGCAGGGCAGAAATGTCACTGCTTCCTCCATCACTAAAGCCTGCCTACAACCTCCCGCCTCCAGCTTGTTTGCCCAAAGCATCTCACAAAACCCCATGTTGGTCCACATTGTGACCAGCCGTCCACCAGCCCCTCCACCATCTCTCTCTAAAGCTGCCCCCTCCTCTCTTCATCTCCCTTCTGGTTACGATTCTGCAACCCATCATTTCAGCCACTCGACTGAGTCCTCTGTGCTTAGCTGCCCGCCCCTCTGGTGCCACTCTCCCAGAAAACCCCTCCAGGGACAAGCTCACACCTGCCTCACTGGGCCTCCGCCTCGCGCCTCCGGGGAGCGGTTATCAGAGAGCCCGCCACAGCCCGGTGTCACCAGGAACTCCTCATCACAGTCAACCGCAGAAGCTGGCTCATCAGTCAGCTCTCCCACAGTGACCCGCAAGTTCCCTGCACTCCCTTCACACCCCAGCAGCACCCCAACACCTCTCTCTGCAGGTGGCCCAGCCCTCCACCTGGGGAGAAATGCAAGCCCCACGGAGGGGAGCCTTCACATGGTTCCCACCAAATCCCTCCTTCTTACTCCTGTGGGCAATGACCTTGGCAGCCCAGCTGAGAATTTGGACTTTGTCCTTGGGACCCTGAGAAACGCAGGAAGAGTGCAGTCAGGGGAGTGGGTACTCTGACCAGAATAGGATTTGGGACTCACTGGCTGCAGCGTGGAACCAGGATTAGTTCTCCAAGAACAAGAACAAGAAGAAATGGCCCAACGGCCCCAGAAGAGTGATGTTTCCGCTGGCCCTGAGGGATGGGAAGTGCCCAGAACAAAGGAATAGCAGAAGGGTCCCAGGGCAAGAGAACATGGCTCCTTCGGGGAACTAGGAGGGTTTGTGTGGCTGACGGAGCACAGCTGGAGCACAGCTGGGAAGAGGCACAGAGTGGGGGGAGGCCCTGGGCCAGCCGGGGGCTCCAGCAGCTCCCCAGCAGGTGGCACAGCTTCGTGAGGCTGAGAGGAAGCCAGTAAGGGGTTGTCAGCAGAGGGATGGCCTGGTCAGAACTGTGCTTTATGACAATCATTCTGCCTGCGACAGAATTAACTGGAAGGGGCGAAAATGGAGGCAGGGAAATCAGTTGGCTGATTAATGCCATCGTCCGGATGCAAGATGGGGGAGGGACAAAGTGAAACACTGTAGATTCCACAGCTGTTCAGCAGCTGGACGGACAGGTCTTTGTGACTGACTATTGGGCTTATAAAGCCATCTGATAAGAGAGAAGGAAGAATGGACACAGGTTATGTTTGTGGGTTTTGTAGCAGGAAATTGAGGGAGGCCCTGACCAGTAACTATTATCTCTGTGTGGCAGAGGCCATTTAAAGAGCTGCCATGGAGACGGAGAGGGACTCGGCCAGGAAACGGCACGACTGCTGGAAGCTGTGAGGGCCCACAGGAAGCTGGAGGCCAGGTGTTCAGCGGGCGATGGTGGGGCTTTCTCAGGTGCACAGAGGCCGGCACCGGGTCCCAGGTGGTCCACCGGGAGTGTGCAATGCTGAGACAATGGGGCTCATAAACTGAGGCTATTGGAGGGAGGGGCTAACAAGCTCCTCCCTTGGGATTAAGACTGCTGTGGGAGGACCCACTGTGGGGGGCGATTGCCCTGGGGATGCCCACGGGCAAACGGCTAACCTTTGCAGATGCTGTCTCTGTTCCACTTGACTTAGATAATTCATTTAATCCTTCTAACAACACTGTGAGGCAAGTACTATTCTGATCCCCATTTTACTGAGAAGAAATCAGATAGAGCACTGAGGGAGTCAGTCACACCCAAGGTCACACAGCCCCTAAATGACAGCGCTGGGATTTGAATCCAGGGAGTCTCAGCTCTCAGTTCACCTGCTACTCTGCTGGGGCTTCTTTTTTTTTTTTTTTTTTATCCTCACCTGAGGATATTTTTCCATTTTTTGTACAGATAGAGTGGGAGGGAGAGAGAGAGAGAAACATCGACGTGAAGGGACACATCGAGTGGCTGCCACCCGCACGACCAACCAGGGCCGGGGACAAACTGCAACCGAAGTACGTGCCCTTAGCGGGAACCGAACCCGAGTCTCTCCGGACCGCAGGCCGACACTCTAACCGCTGAGCCAAACTGGCCAGGGCTACTGGGGCTTCTTAAACTTCATGTCTGTGGCCTGTATGACCCCTGCCTTTGGCCTCCACATATGAACAAGGGATCTGGCTCTGCTTTGGGGGTTGCCCTCTGCAGTCAGGTCTGGGTTGAGGTTCCCAGGACAGAGGAAGTAGTGGCAGGGGCTGGGGGAGGCAGGACAGGGTGCCAGGCCAGGGCAGAGGCAGGCTGGGGCCAGTGCCTGAGCCAGAGGAGGGCAGACTGGAGCCAGGTCTGGCTGAGTCCCAGGCCTCCCAGCAGGTTCCGCATCCCGGGCCCTTGAACCTGTGGACCCAGGCCATTTGCCCTGTTTGTGCACAGGGCCAGGCATGCGGAGCACAGTGGCAATGATTCCTCAGAGGAATCCACCAAGGCCTCTCAGGACAAGGTCCAAGGTACTCATGACCCAGGATCCTGCTCAGCAAGGCTTGCCCCACAGCAGGTTCTAAGAGGAAGTCCTCCCTGCCGACCCTGGCTGGGCGCTGGGCTCCAGAGAAGCAACTGCTCATCTGAGATCAGCCCCATACCTTCTCCTGGATCCCCCAGACACTCTGACTTAGGTCCCAAAGAATTCGTGCAAATGGGCCAGCTGAGCAGCTTTCAGGCCCAGAACTGCAGGCAGGACATCCCTCCAGGTGGGCCCTCAGGGGCGTTAGGTCAGGGGACAGACCCATGGAGATCGCAGCAGTTTTTCCCTTGGAGGCCAGGACATGTCCTTGGCCCCTTGGTTCTGCTGCTCTGAATCCTTCTCCAGGTCTCAGGTTGGGCAGGTATGGCCATCTCTGGACTCAGGAAAAATTGCTGGAGTCAGGACAGTGAGCACTGGGCTCCCCTGCTCCCTGGCTGCCTCTCCCCTGCCGACAAGCCCTTAGATGTCAGTGTTTCCCTACGCAGTTATCTGTGCCTTTCTACTCCGCTTCTATGACCTGATCACTCTGAGGGTCTCAGAGACCCTATGAGGCTGACTATCCCAAACCCATGTCTGCAGGGGGGACTTCTCCCAGGTGAGTCCCAGCTGCCCCTGGGCATCTTTCCCTGAAAATCCCACATCCGGCACTGAATCCTCATTCCCCAGAAACCTGCCCCCCCCCCCCAACTCCTCCAGCCATCAAGCCTGAAACCAGGGGAACTCCTTTGACTCCTTCCTGTCCCCACATCCGGTAGCCAAACTGCTGTCAGCTCCACCTCCTTCAGAAGTCTGGAATCTGTTCCCTGTGCCACACCTTAGTCACATCTTAGTCACCTATCTCTCTTGGTCTCTGCCCTCCAACCCACCGCGGTGCAGCATCCAGAATGACTTGCCCAAAAAGCTCCCAGACGAGCCTGGTTGCTCTGACTGGAGTGCAAGCTCTCTATCTTGGCACCAAAGTACTCGCTGATCTGGCCCACTCTTCAGCCTCATCACTGCCATGGGCACCCCTCAGACCCTACGGGCTGGCCCCAGGCCCCCTCGACCTCCCTGTGTCAGTCACCCCTCACTTTCCTTCTCTGCTGGCTCTTTCCTCAAAGGCTAACACGGTACCCTGGCTGGTTTGGCTCAGCAGTTAGATCATTGGCCCTCGGACCAAAGGGTTTTGGGTTCGATTCCAGAGCCACTGGTCACAACTGGCTGGACCTGTGGTGGATACTGGACCCAAACTGGGCCAATCAGATACTCTCGCCACAGTACTTGAAACTTAGAATCGAGAGTTTAGGAGTCCCAGGCATGGAGTCTCATTAATGCCCATAAATGACAGATCACTAGAGGTACTATGCCTGACCTCAGGCTGCTGGGACCACCTGCTTCCTGCCCTCCAGAGTCAGCTGTGCCTTTAAATCTGTGCAAAAGAAACAAAGAACCAAGGAAGCTTAATTGACTCCCTTGCCCCAATCTCCCCACCCTATTCTTCTCTTGTCAAGCTCTTGATCAAGTCTTTCACAATAGACTCCACTCCCTCACCTTTCACCTACTTATTCCTCAGCCCACAATAATTCAAATTTTACACATATTTATTTAGCATCTGCCTTGTGCAAGACTCTGAGGACACAAATAAGACATAGCCTGTGGCCTCAGGTAGCTCAGTCCAGCTGTAAGCCCAGGCAAGGAAGGGATAAATGCAAATTGCAATCAAGATAAAGGTAAAATGTGGCAAGGGTGATGGGAGAGGAGCTCACAGGGTTATGAGGGAGGGGCTCGGCCTGGGGATGTCCAAGCAGCACGTTCCAGTTCAGGAAAATAAAAATGAGCAATTTTTAATTTTTATTTGAAATGAAAACAGATTTATTAATACCTGTGAAAATTGGAATATATTACAACTATTTAGATTACCCACTTCATTGATAGAAAAAAATTTCAGTAAGAAACTTGGCACACTGATTTTCATCTGCTAAAATGTCATCATCTGGTATATAATAATAGTAGGGAAAGGCAAGAGGCCAAGAGAGCCCTTATTTCCATATTTAGGTCCTTGGTAGGCTTTATCCTGAGAACAGCAGGGAGCCATTGAGGGTTATTGAGCAAGAGAAGATCATTGTCATTTTGGTGGCTAGTGTTAGGGAAGGAAAAATTGCTCAACCCCTGGTCAGCCCTTAAACCCTAGCCACCTCCATCCCTGAGGTTCATGGTTCCCATGTGGTATTTACAATCCTTAAGCTGTCAAGCATGGGGTGGGGGGGTGTCCAAAGATCTTGGCTCAGAGGGAGAAGTGGTGCCTGCTACCTTCCGTCCCCAGCCCACTGGCACCAGGCTGAATGTAATTGTCCTCAATGAAGCCGTCATCATCCTCATCTTCACCCACCTCTGGACAGATCCCCTTCCTTGTTCCAGGCAGCGGGCGGTGCTGGAAGCTGGTGCGGTATTTGCGGCAGAGGTGGCACTTGGCAGCAAGTGCAATGAGGAGAGAAAGGACCACAGCTCCCAGCACAACCCCCACCAGCACAGGCCATGCCCGGGCCCCGACACCTGGTCCAGGGGACGTGGCTGATGCCGTGGGGAACTCTGAAGGCCCCACAATGGCTGCAGAGAAAGAGACAGCATTATGATCAGGGCTCCAGATAGGCTTCCTGGGGAGACCAAGAGTAGTGGTGGCAGGATCTTTCCCCCCAACCCCAGCATCTAAGGGGAAACCACCCCCCTCTTCAGGTTCCCTCTCACTGCCACTCACTTTGGTTTGCGTCACTCATGGAGTAGCTGGAAGACACCCGTGAGCCTCGGGCTTGGCCAGAAGAGCCCTGGCTCCAAGGAGATCCCCAGGTGCCAGGCAGCTCTGGGGCACAGATCCTGAAACATACAGGCACATGTGGCTGTCAAGGGTGGCCACAGGGTACGCACTGCAGGCCACACTCACAGCCGTGTTAGGGTGTTGCACAAACCCTGGAGACTAGACACCTGACCATAACCGGCTGTTCACAGGAGAAACGAGCTGAGAAATTGCCTATTTGTAAGGAAATACTGTACGGTCTAGCTCTGGAAGCGGCTAAAAAACCGAATCAATGCTGGAACTTATCCTGAGCACACCTCATGATGCAGGCACCAGGCACCGTGCTCACAGCAATCTGTGATGTGGGTGTAAACAGTGTCCTCTCTATAGATGAGGACTGAGGCCCAGAAGGGAAACTAACTCAGCCAAAGTTCCAGGACTTGAACCCAGGTCTTTGGCACCAAGGCCCAGAACCCAGTTTGCTATACTGTTTGATAAGCTGAGGATGGAAGGTGAGGGGCAGTCCTGGCTCCCAGAGGCTGGCAACAGCAATTGCTTAGAGGTAACGAGCCAAAGTGGAAAGTACACATGAAAGACAGTGCCAGTCCCCACCCAGGGCAGGGGGTCCCAGGCACAGCCAGGGCAGACCTGACCCCTCTGCTCCTTCATCAGGAGCCCTCATCAACCCACCTTTACCCTCAGCCTTTCAGGCACATCTCTGTCCCTTCACCTCTGCCCTCAAAGGGAGTAGCCAAATATAGAACCTGAATCAAGAAATCATCCAGCCCTGGCCAGTTTGGCTCAGTGGTTAGAGCGTCGGCCTGCGGTACAGCGAGACCCGGGTTCGGTTCCCGCTAAGGGCGCGTACCTCGGTTGCAGTTTGTCCCCGGCCCTGGTTGGTCGTGCGGGTGGCAGCCACTCGATGTGTCCCTTCACATCGATGTTTCCTTCTCTCTCTCTTCCTCTCTCTCCCTCCCGCTCTATCTGAACAAAAAATGGAAAAATGTCCTCGGGTGAGGAAAAAAAAAAAGAAATCATCCAGATGAGAATCACTAGGACTGGAGAGGATCTATAGAAGGATCATCTGAATTAAGAGAGTATCTGGAGGAAGATCATCTAGGCTCAGAAATACCTGGAGGAGGAGCACCTGAATCAGAGGAGTGGGGGGAGCAACTGAATCTGGGGTGTATTTAGAGAAAGAGCACCTAGGTTAGGGAAGTATCTGTTGGAGGACCAGCTAGAGTTGGAGATTATCTACAGGTGGAGTACCTGAAGAAGAGGAGTACCTGGGGAGGAGTAGCCAGGCTAAGAAAGCACCTAGGAGAGACACACCTAGTTTAGGGGAGCATAGTCTTTTATACTGATAACTTTATTTTTTTTATAATGTGCTGACTTTCTGGATACACTTAAAAGGATAAACAGTCCTTTCAGTGCAGAGGAAAAAGAACAGACATTACTCTAGCCCAGAGTCAAAGCCATACACTGATACCTTAACAAGATCTTCCCTCCTCACCGACAACTTGTCCCAGGACCCTCTGGATGACCCCCTTCACTGGCCTACCCCATAAACTACCCGTCAGAATTGGGCAGCTCCCTGGGGGCAAAGATTGGGCTGATTAACCTGGGTCCTAGGACTGCCAGAGAGCTTGGCATTCGGCTGCTCAGGGCTAGTGTACGGAGTTGAGTGAGGGAGCAGAGAGTGCGCGTGGGGTGGGGGTGGGGCCGCGGACAGGAGAAAGGGGAGGTAAATGAATAACATTCAGTGGGTGCCTACGTGGGCCCCACACTATGCACTGGGTCCTCAAAAAATAAAATGTTGTTAAACTGAAATGAACTGAATTCAATTTGACCTTTCCTTTACTCCTATTCCTTTAATTCTGCCCTGTCCCTGTGAATTCTTCCCAAGGACACATACCCACACCCACAGGCTGTCACCCCACCCCCTCAAGTCACTTTTCTTCCAACAAACACATGTGCCCTCTGATTTTCACAGACATACACACTCACCCTGATCTGAGGAGCCCCGGGGATTTGTTATCCCCCCTCTCAGCCCCCCAATTCTTCCCCCTGCTCCCCACCTGTAGGAGCTGCCTGGAGGAAGCTTCCGGCTGGGGCCAGCAGGCAGTGGGCGGGGCAGAACTGCCGCTTGACACACCTGGGGACGCAGCAGGTGGGGCTGAAGCTGCAGGTGAGGGCGGAGGGCTGGGCAGCAGGCAACGCCCACATCTGGGAGGCCTACCTACATCTTCCCAAGCCGGTGCAGAGAACCTTACTGCGCAGGCCTCACCCCCCCTCCCCGAGTACTGCGGGGAGGGGGTTGGGCCAGTGCAGGTAGGATCCTGGGAGGGAGGGGGTGGTCCAACGGACACCTAAGTAGGCTGCCGCTCTGGCAGGCGGCCCTGAGCAATGAATTTCCGGTGACAGGTACAAAGTCCAGAGTTGAACGGGGAGCTTTGCAGGCCTGTGAAGGTGGTGGGCCGGAACGGGAGCCAGGGGGGTTAGGCACTCTACCCAGGCAAAGCCAGAGGGGCCTAGAGACTCAAAATTGCCTGCAAATGTATGTGTGCGTGTGCGTGTGTAGAGGGGATGTGGAGGTCAATAGGGAGTGTGAGTTCAGAGGTCTTTTGGGGAGTGTACATGTGTCTTTGGGGGGTTATGGTGTGTGTGAGTGTTTACCTGGGTAGAGGGTCCAAGCCTTGATCTGGATCCCAAGGATCCTGTGACCCACAAATCTAGGCTCTGAAGCTCCCTTTTGTTCTACTCCTGGCCCTTGACGACCCCGTTGGGATCCGGAGTCTCGCTTTCGCTGAGCCCTCGGGCTACCCGGCAGGCCCCACCTCCTCCATGCCCTGTGCCCCGTTTATCACAGCATTTCTCTATCTGCATTGTAATCATTTCTTCCTGTGCTGCCTCCCCCATGAGCCCAGGAGCTCTCCCAGGGTGGAGCCATGTTTTGCACGTCTCTGGGTTGCCAGTACTTGGCACAGGGCAGGCTCTCAGTGAATATCTAAGGGAGGAAGGACTGCATGAGCTTTGCAGGTACAGGAGTTCACGGAACCCTCAGGCCACAACCCGAGCAGGGACTGTGCCCAGGGGTGGCCAGTGGGGCAAGCCAGAACTGCGGCTGCAAAGGGGAGGCCCTTGCAGGACCTTGGATATCTTAGCATGGAATCGGAACCCTTACTACCAAAGGCTCCTTCCTACTTCTCCCCTCATCCTGCCTACCTTTCATACTCTCTCCTCCACCCACACCAAACTGTTCTCTACTCCGGAACCCACCATGCTCTCATCTCCCAGGCTCTACATGCCCCGTTCCTGGGACCCCTGATTCCCAGCCCTCACCTCCAGCCCCTCCCCCAACTTGTCCATCACCCACCTGGCTGTTTTCCTCCCAGACCTACTCATCATTCAGACCGTAGTTTAGGTGCCTCTTTATATAGAAAGCCTTTCCTTACCCTCCCCAGTCGGGGTCCTCCTCCCCCCCTCTGTGCCCCCCCCCCCCCCGCAGTCCTGGCACTTCCCCACTGCCCTGACCACACGGTATTGTGATACTCTCTTTATTTGGCAGGGCCTCTTATGAGCCTGGAAACTCTGGGGGTAGGGTTTGCATCTATCTCATTCCCGTTCAAATCCCCAATATCTAAAACGGCAACAATAAATCCTTCTGAAATAAATGAATGAGCTCTGCTGGTGTGGCTCAGTGGGTTGAGCACCCTCCCATTGGACTGAGAGGTCCTGGTTTGATTCCTAGTCAGGGCACATGCCCAGGTTGCAGGCTCCATCCCCAGTAGGGGGCGTGCAGGAGGCAGCTGATCGATGTTTCTCTCTCTCTCTCTCTCCCCCTTCTTCTCTCTCTAAAAAAAATTTTAACTTTTTTTTTTAAAGAAATGAATGAGAAGTGAATACTACCTGGGATGGGATAGTGGAGTTAGGAAGCTTGGGGGTTTTGCTTTGATTTGAAGCAAGGAAACCATGGGATTCAAAAGATACTCATTGAACACCTACCATGTCCCGGGCCCTGTGCTGTTTTTTGTTTTGTTTTTTTAAATTAAGGTATTAAGGTATTCATATAGCATAACCTAATTCACATCACAAAAAAACTCACCATTTTAGCACACAATTTAATGGCATTTAGAACATTCACTGCGTCTAGTTCTAAAATATTTTTATCACACCAAAAGGGTGCACCCTGCCCATTAAGCGGTCACTCCTCATTCCCCCACCCCAGGTCCAGCAACCTCAAATATGCTTTCTGTCTCTATGGATTTGCCTGTTCTGGACATTTCATGCACATGAAATCATATCTCTTCCAGTTTTTTAAGGAACAGTTTCATTTAATCCTCATAACTTCACTATTAAATATTGATTAGCCCTGTACCAGATGAAGAAAATAAAACTAAGAAATAAAATTTTGCCCTGGCCGGTTTGGCTCAGCGGTTAGAGTCAGCCCGCGGACCAGAGAGTCCTGGGTTCAGTTCCCACTAAGGGCATGTATCTCGGTTACGGTTTGTCCCCGGCCCCAGTTGGGGTTGTGTGGGTGGCAGCCACTTGATGTGTGTCTCTCTCACATCGATGTTTCTCTCTCTCTCTCTCTCCCTTCCTCTCTACCTCCCTCCCTCTCTCCCTCCCTCTCTGTCTGAAAATAAATGCAAAAATGTCCTCGGGTGAGGATAAAAAAAAAAGAAATAAAAATTTTATATGTATTTTTGTTGATTTTAGAGAAAGAGAAAGAGAGGGAGAGAGAGAAAAACATATCAATTGGCTGCCTCCCGGCACTGGGCATCAAGCCCACAACCCAGGCATGTGCCCTGACCAGAAATTGAACCAGCGACCTCTTGGTGCAAAGGACGTTGCCCAGCCAACTGAGCCACACCAGCCAGGGCCCATAAGAAAGAAATTTGCATGAAGTCCCACAGAAGAAAACAAGTAAAGGCCTGTTCATCCATCACAGTCATTTATTCCATGAGTATTTACTGAACACCCAACACAGAGCCGCAGCCAGCCCACAGGCATGCATTAGAATGTAGCAGAGGACAACCTGTTGGGTGCCGCACAGCACGGACAGCAGAGAGCAGGCTAGATGTCAGCACCCACTGCAGCCTGGAGCTCTGGAGCCGTGAATAACCTTCACGACCTTCCATGGCAGCCCTGAAAACCACGTGGCAGGCACTGTGCTCACTGACGGGGACAGAGGTCCCGCTGCCATACAGCTTTCATTCTGGTGAGGAAGACAGACAATACACAAGTGAAAAATAAGTAGGATCATTCGGATAATGGCTAGTGCTAGGAAGAAAATAAAAAAGCTGTAGGTGATAGGGAGCTGTGGAGGGGAAGAGGGGGTGGTGAGCTGAGACCTGAGTGAGCGTGAGATGGCAACCCTGTCTTTCTGGGGAAGAGCAGTCCAGAAAGAGGAACTGGCCAGGACAAAGACAGAGGCAGGGCATGGCTGGCTCCTTCCCGCAACACAGGAGGCTGGCTGGCTGGAGCCATGGGAGGGGCTGCACTGGGAGGCCTGTCAGCTCACCTGGAGCCTCCTCAGGTCCTTCCCTCCACAAGATGGGAGACCACTGACGATCCGAGCGGAGGATGAGGGACTGTCCTTCTTTGGCTTCTGTGTAAAGAATGAACTAGAGGAGGCCAGGGTAGAAGCAGGAAGGCCAGTTAGGAAGCTGCTGCTATCATTCAGGAGAGAGGGACTGTGGCGAGAGGGTGCTCGGGCAGGAACGGGGAGAAGTGGTCAGATTCTAGATATATTTTGAAAGTGAAGCCTACATGACCTGCGGACTGGATGTCGGCTTTGAGAAAAAGAAAGGGACCAAGAAGAACTCCAAAGTTTTGTCCTGAGCAGCTGGTAGGATGGAGTTGTCATTTACTCAAGGGGAAAACTCCAGAAGGGACAGATTTGGACGGGCAATTAGGATGTCATTCTGGACATGTTAGATGTGACACACCCATAGCATCCTAAGTAGGCAGTAGCATAAATTTGGCTGGAATGCAGAGGGAGACAAAGGCTAGAAATATAAATTTGGGAAGCAGCAAAATGGGGGTGATTTTTAAAACCAGTCATCTAGGTGTAGAGAGAGAGCAAGACTGAGGCTGAGCCCCAGAGCACAGTGGGGGAGGAGGTGAACTGGGGAGAAACAGGAAAGGAGACTGAGGCTTGGCCAGCAGCATGGTGGGAGCAGACATGCGAGAGAGGTGTCCTAGAGGCCAGAGAAGAAAGTATTTCGAGGGCAAGGGCTTGGTCAGCTACATCAAATGCGGGTATTAGGTCAACTGAGATATAGATTGAGAAGTGACTTTGAAATTGGCCACATAGAGGTCACTGGTGACTTGTCAAGAGCAGTTTCATTGGTGTTGGGGACAAATGCCTGACTGGAGCAACACACCAAATATGGGAGCAGAGAAAGCGGTGACCACTTCTTCATATAATTTTGCTATAAAAGGAGCAGAGAGGCCCTGGCCAGGTAGCTCAGTTGGTTAGAGCATTGTCCTGATACTCCAAGGTTGCAGATTCAATCCCCAGTCAGGGCACATACAAAAATCAACCAATGGCCCGGCCAGTGTGGCTCAGTGGTTGAGTGTCAACCCATGCACCAAGATGTCGCCGGTTCAATTCCTGGTCAGGGCACATGCCCAGGTTATGGGTCTGATCCCCAGTGGGGGGCATGCAGGAGGCGGCTAATCAATGTTCTCTCTCATCGATGTTTCTAGCTCTCTCACTCTCTCTCTCCCTTCCTCTCTCTCTAAAATCAATAAAGAAAAAAAAAAGAATCAACCAATGAATGCAGAAATAAGTGGAACAACAAATCTATGTTTCTGTCTCTCTCTCTCTCAAATCAATAAATAAAATTAAAACTAAAAAAAGTGGTGCAGGGTCCGGCCAGTGTGGCTCAGTGGTTGAGCATCGACCCATGCACCAAGAGGTCGCCGGTTCAATTCCCATTCAGGGCACATGCCCAGGTTGTAGGCCCGATCCCCAGTTGGGGGGGCATGCAGGAGGCGGCCAATCAATGCTCTCTCATCAATGTGTCTATCTCGTTCTCTCCCTCTCCCTTCCTCTCTCTCTCAAAATCAATAAAGAAAAAAAATATATTTTTTAAAAGTGATGCAGACACCAGAGGTGGGGATGCAATCACGGGGAGGATTTTTCAAAGGCTAGGAGCTGTTATACCATGTGTGTATGCTGGCCAGAATAACCCAGGGGAGAAAGAAAATCGATGATGCAGAAGGAAGGAAAAGGGACACTGGGGGTGTGAAGTCCTGAAGGCATCAGTGGTGTGGGATCAAGTGCCCAGGCGGACGGCTGACCTTGGGCAGGAGCAGGAGGAGTCCCTCGAGGAAGGTGGAGCACGCAGGTGAAATGATGGGAGCCGTAGGAAGTTTTCTCCCCATGGCTTCTGTTTCTCCTGAGGAATAGGAAGCAGGGTCACCAGCTGAGAGTGGGATGGGCAGAGGTTTGGGGGTTTGAGGAGAGAAAGGAAGGTGTGAATTGGTCATCCAGAGCCCGCCAGTATGTAGCACCTTGGGGTGAGCAGTCAGTAGGAATGTTAAGTGTCCTTGTTTTCTAGCCACTCCAAGTGCAGGTGGGAGAATGGAGAGATTTAACCAGGACGGGGATTTGCCAGGCAAATCTGATGAGGGCAGGAAGGGGCAAGGGAGCCAGATTTGTAGACAAGGACGGGGTTTCCATAATGCCCAGGAGATCTGGGCCCAGTAAAGAGGGGAGTGAGGACAGGGCGGGGAGGTGTGAGGAGCACTGAAAAGGTGGTAGGATCGATGAGTTTTAGGAGCACTTGCTGGTGGATTAGAGAGAGTAAATAGGAAGTGGTGAGCAGATGGTGGTGTATGGAAATGGAGGTCCCAGAGGATGCAACTCCTGATAAAGACAAGCCCAGGAAGCCAGGCTCAGTGGATTATCCCATCGTCATCCCATCGACAGAGAGGTCCAGGCTGGATTCTTAGTCAGGGCTCATGCCCCAGTTGCAAGCTCAATACCCAGTAGGTGCCGTGCAGGAGGCAGCCGATCAGTGTTTCTCTCACACATCTATGTTTCTATCTCTTGCTATAAAAATCAATGAGAACAAAAAAAAGATAAGCCCAGAGATATGACCCATGGAGTGGTTCTGAGGTGGGACCTACAGACAGTGGGGGCTTTACCATTATCTGAAGCATGTGATTGACTCAACCTTCCTCATCAGAGGTCTCATGATAACATGCTAATAACTCTACCAGTAAATGGCAGAGTCAGGATTCGAACCCAGGTCTTCTGACTCTAGGTCCAGCATCTTTCCAGTTATATATCCCAACTACATCCCTCTGCTCTGTTCAACTAAAAAATGTTAACATCCATTTATGTTAACATGGCTGAAAGTCGTTTTGTAAGTAAGGTTTTCCTGAGCCAAAATTGCCAGTCAAAAGACTGTTGTTGGGGCATGGAGTCTAAAGCAACAGCAGCATGGCTGCGCAGCAAAGACAGCACGCCCTCCTTCCCAGAGCTGTGCAGGCCTTTCGTGCATCAAAGAGGGGAGGGGGCGAAGGGGGCCGTCCGAAGAAGTTACCTGAGCTATAGGCAAACGGGTGGCAGAAGCTCTGGAATCGCTCCGTCTACACGAAGAATGTCCTACTGGTTGGCTGGGGCGCCAGTCCAGAAAGCCCTCCTGTAAACAAGTGGGGAGGGGAGGGGTGCTCCTGGATGACTAGAAAAATCTGGAAATAGCCACCTGGAAATACATCCAGAATTCCAACAGGAATGTGAGAAGTCTTTTGTTAGACAGTCAGCAGCCGTTCATAGACTAACTCTTTCTCTCACTCTCTGGCCACTGTGAATTAATTTAGAACATCTCAGAATTTTTTTTCTTCTCAGCTCCTAGGAGTAAAATTTGCAATCAAGGTACTCGATTCCTCACAATTATTTGGAGTGACAGGCAACAATCACTGCCTTTCAAATATAATCAAAGAAAATATATCTCCCGAAGGAAATATTGCAGAGCAAGCCAAAGAAGGTGTCTGGGTCCCACCTCCCTAACAATTCCTTTTCCATCTGACCCAACCCCTCCCTGTGGCAGACTGGGGGTCTTAGCCTTGGGGGGTGTTGTAGTCCCCTTTTGAGAAGCTGATGAGAATAAAGAAATGCATATGTACATCCAGTCTCAAATATGCTCGCAGGCCTGGCATGTAGTAGGTGACCAATAAAAACGTATCTGATGAATGATTAGATTTCCAGGGGGCTCACTTGCTCCCTCCAGGTTAAGAACTGGTGTTAACCCTTTACACTCTGAGTGTAGGAGCCTCTCTTCTTTTGTAAACAGGTGCCCCTTTGAATAGGTAGAGGACCTCTTTTCTTCAAAAGCCTCTGGAGGGAGGCTGCCCATGTTCTGTATCTAGTCACTTCCAGCCTTCTGGAGATGAGTCAGCACTTCCTCAGGACACCCCTCATTCCTCCTCCTTTACTCAGCCCCCACCCTCCCCGGAGGCTGGTCTTTCCCCACTCCTGGCCTGCCATTGGTGACATCTGGAGATGCCCCAGCATTCAGAGCCTGCCGGAATGAGTCCCAGAGGGGACTGGGCTTGAAGCTTGGTAAAAACAAGCCCTCTGACCCACCACCACTGAGAAGGCACCATTCTCTAAGGTACACTCACAGGTCACATCCCTAGACCCGAGACTAAGGAAGTGCCTGGAGATTGCAGCTTCTAGGGTTTCCCCACTTCCTCAAGGTGGACGCGTCTGTCAGGTGTCCCATGAAGGCCTGAGGGAGAGCTCACCAAGCCTCACCTCCCCAAACACACCGCCCTGAAACCCCAGTATAATTACCTCATAGGGTTACCACATCAGATCCGGCATCCAGGTTTATGGGACAACTTCGGCCCAAGCCACCAGCTCCATCTTGCCACCTTGGATATATGATCAGACACCATGTGCCCCTAGTGTGACGAGGTAGCAGTCTGTGCCCCCTCCATGCTCAGTTATCTCTGGGGTAACTGGTCCGGGAGAACAGAGCTCAGCCGACCTGGCAGGAAACTACCACACTCTCTCCTGAGGGATGTCATGCCAGGCAGGTGGCCAGAGGTGGCAGACCATCTGGACAGAACGGCCCCATTGCGGTGCCCCCTCTCAGTCCTGCCGCCCCACATAATAGGGATGGTCATCTCTCCCACATTCTCGCTCTCTCATGGCGATCGGAAAATTCGTTGCCTACCTGGACTTGGGGCGTTCCTCTGGTGGCAGGCACCACTAAACCTGGAAGGAGCCCACTCCCGAGTCTTGTCGCACCAGCTTCCCTTCCTCAGGGTGGAGGCAAGAATGAGATGGAAAACCCCAATATGCCTTCCGGTGAAAAGGGTTAACGACAGGGCGAGAGCGGGGGGCCCTGCCTTCAAAAGTTGCCCGATCATCCTTGTGTCAGATGAATGAATCATGGGTTCATTGCCCTGTCGCTACGTTTCATCCTCAGACATTAAAAGTGAGATTGATCAACCAGGGAGCAATCCCCGTGATTCACCCAGGCTGTGGATCCTGCAGGAATGTGTGTCTGTGGCCTGGGGTGGCAACTTTCCCTCATAAGATGTGCTTTGTATTCTAAGTAGTCTTGCTGTTTGAAGCAGAAAAACAATGAGTCATTTGTGGCCTATGTGACTGGTTCTAGGATTTCGGAGTGACCTGGGGTGAAGCAAGGACCTGGTGTACCTTAAAGGCAAGGCGCCCTGAAAATTGGTGCCTGCCCATCTCTGCTGCTCCATCTTTGCCTTTTAAAGGCCCCCACTCAATCATAACACAGCACAGAGCTGAGCTTATTATGTTTCCAGAATAAAATCTCTAATACTTTCTAAGTATATAACCATACGCTTTCTTAAATCATTTTTAAGAGTTTGGGGATGACATTCATAGCAGCCCTCCTATAAATGCTGGCAGAGACTTTTAACCTGTTTCCATCTAGGTCGAACCATCTAGCAGGCCTGTTACGGATCAAATTGTCTGGGGTCAGAGTTGAGCTCCACTTGATTATTCTTAGAAAGCATCGATTTCCTCATCTGTAAAATGAGGGTAATAATAATAAAACCTTCCTCAAAAGGCAGAAGTATCCACAAGGTGTCATGAACACCTCTTCCTGGCACTTGTAAATGTTCAATAACTGTTATTCGTTACAACTGAGGTATGTGGCTGCTCTTCACATGACTTCTGCTTGCATTATCAGGTCCATTGCATTCTGATCAAGGTCAGTAAAAATCTGTCCTGTTTTAAGTAGGTCCTGAGCTTTAAACTGTCTGAGCCCTCGTGAGGTGTTGATTCCAGCTTCTGGCCTCACGGGTTCCTTGAGGGTCAAATGGCCTTTGTCAAGCAGGTTGCATAAAAGGGAATTTATTCAAAGCTTTGTTGGATTAACTGGGGCTTCCTTTACACAAGGGCTTGTTTTCAGAAGCTTTCTTTTCCCAACAAGGAAAAAGAACACAATGGATTCCAAGTAATCTACAGTTCTCATCACAGCTTGTCATGAACACCTGGCACATCTTTGGGCCCCCAGTGAAAACACACACTCGCTCACTCGCTCACTTCGGGAACGGAGCTGCAACCTGACGTTCCAGAGCATTCGCTGTGGAAGTGTTTCCCGGAAGAACAGCAGAAAGTGTTTTTGAATGGACATATGGCTTTAGTTGCTACTGAAGTTAAGTGAAAGAAAGTACCATTGTTACCTACTATTAACCTAAAAAAAAAAGGAAAAGTACTACTTTTCTTTTTATTTTCCTTTGCTGATCAACATGAGCAATGATTTATTGGTAAAGTCGATTTCAGGCAAAGACCCTTGGACTTAGGAATTGAGTTAACATGTTGCTTATTTCAACCAAAAAAAGAGATTTGTAATATTGTTTGGGCAACATTTTACTTGCTTCTTCAAAAAACAATTGTGACAAACAGTAGAAAGAGTTACAGCACTTATGAAACATATAAAGACACCCGCATTTGGGGTTTCACATAACAAAGAAATATCTTAAATACTTTTCAAAATATTCTAGGAGCCAAGACACAAGGGCATGCTTTAGAAGAACACAGGAATGTAATGGGGGAGGGGGAAGCATATTGGAACTACCCATTTCCTTTAAAATCACTGAGGAAAACAAAGCAGCATTCAACTTCACATACTGATGTTACAGTTTCTATAGAATAGCTTGACTTAACTCTGAAAAGCAAAGATAGAACTCTCACTTTTTAAAAATTTTCTTTATTGCTTTTAGAGAGAGGGGAAGAGGAAGAGAGAGAGAGATAGAAACATGGAAGAGAGAGAACATCGATTGGCTGCCTACTGCATGCCCCCTGCTGGGGATCAGGCCCACCACCTGGGCATGTGCCCTGATCGGGAATCAAACTGGTGACCTCATGGTGCATGGGTTGATGCTCAACCACTGAGCCACACCAGTCAGGCAGAACTCTCACTCTTTGAGAAAGAACTGCGTGGACACCCAGGTAGTCCACCCTCATCCGCAGGCTTCCTTGGGAGGCGTCTGTGCTTCTTAGAAGAGGATCCATTTGACACTTCTATTCAGACGGACTTGACATCAATTTTGAGGGGCAATGTGGAGAGCTTAATTGTCTTCCCCTATTTGTCCATGGATTTTATGTATTCCTAATCTGTAATGTGAATTATAAATATTTTTGACATTGGTCTCTTACTTTTGCCGCTCAAGTTTTTGTTTTTTTGTGTTCTTTGTTGTTGTTTTTTTTAAAAAAATTTGTAGTAAATGTTATTAATCTTTTATTTTAAGGCCTGTGGATTTTGAGGCTTAGTTGGAGAGGTCACTCCAAAGTTACAAGGTAATTCACCCACATTTTTTTTTCTAGTTCTTTTGTGGGTTTTATTTTTTTGTTTAAATCTTAGACCCATTTGGAATTTATCTTTACATGATGTAAAATATAGACCCAACTTTATTCTTTATAGACAGGTACCAGTTGTTGAAGCATCATTTATGAAAAAGACCAACTTTCCCCACTAATTTGAAATGCCACTTTTTATGTACACTAAATTCCTCCGTGCATTTGGGTCCACCTTCTGGTTTTCCTCTTCTGTTGGTCTGTTTGGTGGCAGTACCACATTGTTTTAATGACTGACACTTCATATATAATATGTTTTATGTCCTGGCAAATATTGCTGTGAAATAAATCACTCCACAACTTAGTCATTTAAAACAATGATTGCTTTCGTATATCTCACGGTCTCCGTAAGTCAGGAATTCAGGGACATCTCGATGGGAAGTATCTCTTTCTCCTTCCGCAGCTTCAACATTTCTTTTTCTTTTTGGGCGGAGCAGAGTTTAGGAAAAAATCAAGTTTTCTTCTCTTTACTTGGATTATTGGCTAGGTACAGAGAGTTGAATCAAATTGGGTTTTAGGAATATCTATGGATTTCAAATGCTCTTGCTAACTTGGTACCATTTTTCTGGCAATAATTGAGAGCCAGTTAGTTTTTAAATTTCAAATGTAGTTGTCCAGTGCCTTTGACTATATGATCATTTCATTTACTTGAATTGTTTACGAATAAGTGAAACCTGATGCCCTGGCTGGTGTGGCTCAGTTGGTTGGATGTCCTGTACACCTAAAGGTTACTGGTTTGACTCCAGGTCAGGGCACATGCCCAGGTTAAGGGCTTGATCCCTAGTAGGGGGCATGCAGGAGGCAGCCGATTGATTGATTGATTGATTGATTGATCCTGTTTTGCTCCCACATCAATGTTTCTCTCTCTCCCTTCCTCTTTCACTAAAACAATCAATTAAAAAATCTTTTTTTAAAAAATGGAAAGAAACCTGACATTTCTAAATTCACCACTGGAGTGGATTTTATTTTTCTTTTTTATTTTTATTTTTATTTTTATTTTTTTAATCCTCTCCTGAGGACATTTTTCCATTTTTTGTTCAGATAGAGTGGGAGGGGGAGAGAGAGAGAGAGAGAGAGAGAGAGAATCATCGATGTGAAAGGAACACATCGAGTGGCTGCCACCCGAATGACCGACCAGGGCCAGGGACAAACTGCAACCGAGGTACGTGCCCTTAGCGGGAATCGAACCCGGGTCTCTCGGGACCGCAGGCCAACACTCTAACCGCTGAGCCAAACCGGCCAGGGCGGATTTTATTTTTCTTGACAGTGTATAAAATTTTATGAACTTGTCCCTCTTACTTCCAAAGCTTCAACATTTTTTGATGTGGTCTGTGTGTGTGAACTAGTCTAGGCTTCCTCTCAGCATGGAAGTTGGACTGTTCACGTGGCCGCTCAGAGTTTCAGTGTAAGTGCGTCCAAGAACAAACTAGAAAACGCCTCACCTTTCTGACCCACACAGCATCACAGCCTGCATTCACCTGAGGACGAGTCAGGGCCATCCCGCTCCAAGGAGAGGAGACACGACCCCTCCTCTCAGTGGGACAAATGTTAAGGTCACATTGTAAGAAAACATGTGGCACAGAACAGACTGTTGTGGCTGATGGGAGAAAATACAATTTTCCATATTTTACTTTCTGATAGGGCTGGCACATCCTTCGTTGATCTATTTTAGAGTTTCCTTGGCTACTCTTACCAGGAGAAACCTCTACTCTCTGATACTTGAGGTGAATTCACTGATAATTGTGTGTTAACCTTTTACCATTTTCTTTCCTTTTTTTTTTTTTTTTATTTGGTAGGGCAGGAAAATATAACATTTTTTCATTTTCAGAAAGTACATTTAGGTCTAATTATGGATATGCTCTTATCATCAGATGTGATTCACTTCTGCAAGTATGCTTTTAAAAAGCCAAACGATAAGCATGAATGTTGTGTTTGGTTGGGGAAAGGTTGGTTCTGAGATAAAAGCACTGCCCTGGCCCGTGAGGTAATGAGTTAGAGTTGGAGACATCCTTATGCATTCAAGTTTAGCTTAATATAAATTGTTAAACAAATAAAGATTTACAGATGCAGTGTATATGCACGCGTTGGTATAAACATAGCTTTCCTTGCTCTGCCAGCTAAGAGGGCCTGAGAGCAATGGCACGATCACACCTGGCAGCCTGCTTTTGGTTTCTGTGTTATTTCCAGAAGAAACCAGAGGTCCTCAGAGAGATGGCTGGTTCTGGGGTTGGAGCAGGAAATCCACGAGATGAGCCTGGAGTATCTGGTTAGTGCCAGGAGGTGAGGGCATGCTGAAGAACAGACAACAAACCTGCCTTGGTGGGAACATGTCAAAGGTCCACAAGAGCCAACTGAAAGGTCACCAATGGCCCAAACTGGGACAATATGAGCAACAAAATAGAAGCTGAGAAACTGTCACGCTAAGAAGAGCCTAAGGAGACATGACAACTAAATGTAGTATGGTATTGTG